TGAAAATGATGCAAATCCCATCATATTGGTTTATCTCAGCAATGAAATGATTTGATGGCTCTATTGGTTTATCGAGCCAGTTAATCCTTTTTAGATGAACTCTTTCTAATTCAAATGTCTTCTTCATGTTAATTATATTTGACCAATGACGTAATGAATATTGCGGCCCAATTGGTTTTAGAGCCACCAAATGAGATTCCAGCCATTTCAAACCGTCTAAAGTTTTGCGTATTTAAGATAGTTGATGTTTTAAACTTATCAGCAGTTTTTAAGCTATTTTCGTGATATTTTGGAATCAAACCCGTGATATTTTGGAATCAAACCCGTGATAAGCTGCTTAAACGTGCGTAACCTTTTGTTGCTCAGTGATTGCTAAGCACCTACTAATTATAACAATGAGGTTCTAAACACTTCAGCAGTAAAATTTGACGCATTTATATAATTGTCCAATAAAGCGGAACGAGAAAGATATTTGACCTTAGTGGATGACAAGAGCTTCAGTGTTCAGGTTACTAGGTTTTTTCCTTTGACTTGAGCAGCTGCTTTGCCCTTGAATGGATCGCTTTCACGCCTTCTAACACGGAAAGAAGCTAGCTCACGGTGGGTAACTGTTCTTATCTTTAACTCATCCCTCGACATCATCACGTACTAAAAAGGGATGTTACTAACATTCTTATGAAAGAATGTACTTGATTTGTTATCAGAATTGGAAATTGAAGCCAGTGTGGTAATTAGAGACGGCAGAGTGTTTGGTTCAAGTTCAGCTAGACCAGAACCTTTCCTTGCACGTAATGGGGCACTTTTACGCCGGCTCTTTATTAATCCAGCCGTTTAAGCTGTTTTGTTGAACACAGTTTAAAATGCCCTTCTTCGTAGAAGCCGCAGGACTGATGTCTCTTGCCTTCAAATTTAGCATATTGAAAATATGAAAATAAGTGAATAACTACTTGAACCCTATCAGGAAATTCAAATTTTCTGTTTCTGATTTTCTCTCAGCTAAATCCGGTATAACTAACCGTATTCGTGTTTTGCTGGTGTGAATGGAGTATAAGTTTTCAGCGGTTACAAACGGAAATCTCTGACTACTTCTAAGTACGCATGCAAAATCAATTCAACAAATATTTTCATAATGTGAGGACTGTTTTAAATTGATCCAGGGAGAAAAAATTGTTCTTTAAAATCAAACATACATCGCCAGACTCTAAATATTGCCTAAACCGATATAGATACAAGTATTTTTAGAGTGCTTGACGGAAAACCTCAGATTATCTGTTATGAGGATAGCATATGAAGACATAGCACGTGTTTAGAGCGAAAACATATTCGGCTACGCGTGAAATTTTTAGAAGCGTGATTTGTGAATTTATCATTGCGTGAAAAACGTGCATAGTGTCCTTCATGTTACGTAACCAGTCAATTAACTGAGTGAAAACTTGAAGATTTTTTATGAATTTTTTTAAGGAATTGGCCAACTAGGAAGTTTAAGGAATCGTGACAATTTTGAAGATCTTGCCAAGACAAAATAATTCTGATAATAATAATAATAATAATAAAAAAACTAAACAAAACCACAACAACTTTCTAATCAATGAAAAACTTCACTACCTAGGAGGTTAACGTCGCTTCTCTTCTGCTGAAAAGCAAGCCACTAGTCACTTGCGGCCTTAAAAAGAATAGAGACGTCCATAGGTATGATGGTTTCACAGCCTGAAACAACTTAACGACCACAGAGAAAGATACAAAAATCTTTGCCTTAGCGATTATCATTTTAAAGTTCGAAACAACTGATTTAGAGCAACACAGCAGCCCTAAATTGTTTCGAGCCGATGATAATCGAAAAAAAGAAAGTTGACTCGATCAGACATCTTCAGCGGTGTAGACTTCTTGTATCTTGTCTCACAAATGTGTGCTGTTTCGTCTACATAGATTTTGCTCCATGTCGAGAGCAGAGCATTTTGCCAGCAGTCTATTTATGATACTGCTGCCAATACAAGACATTCAATCACATTTCACTTCACAAAAGAAACTAAAACAAAGAAATAAGCCACCAAAAATGAATACGATAGTTATGGTTGTGTGTTCTTCCTTTCCTGCTGAACCTAGCACAAAGATGTGACAGAAGTTAGGTTGAACTGCTGCATGTTATCATCAACGGAGGTAAAAATTTCTCGAAGAATGGTGATTTCTCCCACACAACAAATTTAAATAGTCAACTGCGTTCTCGTTGGCTTTTGTTGTGACTATTATGTACACACAATTATACATTTTCTCAAACTACACCGTTTTTCTCATTTATGAGAAACTTTTCTCCCTGACGCCAAAATATTCCATAATAATACTACCAGGCAGAAAATATGAAAAGAAAATCAGGCCCAGACTGGCGCAAGCAAGCTAGACCCCTTCAGCAACCATTATATAAAATACCTCTTGACAACATTGTCAATAGATCTTTTTGCAGTTCCCAGCGCCATATTGGAAATGCAATCGCGCACACGTGAGAACGAGGCTGGGGTTGACTCGCGTTAAATCTCTGTGAGCGCTTTTGGTGATGGATCCTGATCCACCCGAGCCTCCCTCGCCGCGCCGAACCCTTTAACTCCCATGAGTGACCAAGACAGAATTTCTCATTACAATATCAATACAATATCGACCAGATAAGTGATGAGAATAAAGAAAAATATCAATTTGGGGATAATTAGTTGATCCAATACTAAATTCTCTGAACTAACATTATAAGAATTGTACGGTTGACAATAAGGAGAATTACAAATTTGATCTATAGTTAAAGGGTTAAGCGGCAAAACGCCCTATGGGGTGCTAAGCTTCTCGAGGCTTTGACCTCCAAGAAAAAATTCAAAGGATATAATGAAAACACAACTCACGGGAGGCTCATTGGGAATAAAACCAACACTAAGGCAGTAGAAAAAATCAATGCGTGATTTCAACTTAACACAGTGTGTAACTTTTTTTTCGTTTCGAAGAAACAAGTGTCAAAGTGACTTTTAAGACTTCATTACGTCCTTATTATCATAGAAAAATTATTCAGGTGGATTTTTCCGATGAAAATCGAACCATAAACGGGTAATGATAATACCAAAGTGTTTGTTGAACAAGACGCAGAAAGAGATGAAAATGTAACGGACGGTTTCAAAATCGAACGCTCATCCAGCTTGTAACACATACACGTAATGTGTGATTTTTTTTTAACAAGAGCATAAACAATAACTATCTAAGCTATTTTTTCTTAGCTCCGCCTTGAACAGCAATGAGTTAAAGCAATATTCCCTGAGGAGGAAAGCCTGCGAAATCTTTGAACAATCAAAGCTCTCCAGATCACGCCTCGCTACTAATAATACAGATCTATATTTTTTGCTAATGTAAGTAAATTACGCAAGAACAATAGGCATTCTGCACAATGACAGTTCATTCCGAGCACAGCGTCTCTAAATTTGCTACTTGGTATTGGAGTTTCCATCTGTGCAGAACGTTCGCATCACACAGATCGTCGTTGAGCCATCTGTTTGGGTAATTTGTTCAACGTGTCAATATATCAAACAACTTGTTGATATTAATGATCTCGGCAAAATTTCCACACAGACCCATACTATTGTAAAACAAATCTGTTTCCCAATGGCAATGTATTGTTTTTGTCATTGTTTTCTCTATCCAAGAACTGAAGGCATAATGTAGGATGGGGCTGTGCGGAAATTTTACCTCTTAATCAAATCAGCGCGAGTGTGAAATATCACTGAGACCGAACCGGAACACACCGGTAGCTAGAAGGCAATTCTGTTTAGACCAGTGCAGTTTTTATATCAGCTTTTTCCATTCTTTTACTTCAAAGTTGCCGAAAAGCAATTTCCCATGGTTTCTAAGAAAGCCCACAGGTCATTAAAAACAGAGTCTTGTTAAGTCGCCAGGTTTGTTTAATGTTGGTAATAAATCTTCCGGAAAGCGCAACCAATATGGCACATTCCTGAATGGCACTGCAAATTTAATTTGTGTCTGACAATTCGAAAAAAATCTCTTGCTTGGAAACCACAGACTAGGAAAGGTGATATCATTGAGGTGTCGCATGGAATGTAACAACTTTACTATTTCATCCAATGAATGGTTACCTTTTTTAGACTCTGACCAGTGTTTTTTGTAAAAACATATTTTTCAAATCACTTGATCACCCTGGGTAGAGGTTACTACAACCGGAAAAAGGGAAGGAAGAAAATTAAGAAAGCACAATGGCTTTGAGACGCAGTGGCAATAGCCACAACAATTGAACTTTTCAGCTTTATTCAATTGTAGAGTGAAATATGTAGGATTCCATCAACTGCTTGGACTGGATGTAGCGATAACTGTTTGTCCTGGAGGAAGAGACGGTGACAAATATTTTCTTAAAATATTTATATCAGGAATTTAGTCACGAGGATTCAATTAATTGTCCAAAGTTCTGGTAGCCTTCTTTTCTCCCCCTGACCTAATAGGTCTTTGTAATAATTGTAAACATACTCAATTAGAATAAGGTCCACGTAAAGGTGTGATACGCAAAATATGCTAGCAATTTCTGCCAACCTAACGACCCGAAAGTTCAGCAACCTCTGGCGAAGAGAAGACGATGGTTCAGGTAACTTTAAGCATAAGTTTATTGAAATTTAGCCAAAGAGACAGCGCAATTAAATACCCATGCGTAGGAATATGACATATTTTCTAGGAAAATGATCGGTAAAATTTCCGCACAGCCGAATACTATTGTTAAACAAATCTGAATTGAACGCATAATGTAGAAAGGAGCTGTGCGGAAATTTTACCTACATACACATTTCACTCGTGGCAATAGGAATTTTCAAAAGAGCTTCTAAGAATGATTGTAATGAACCTTCTCTTTAGGAACAAAGATTAACTTTTAAAGGTCATGTTATGATTAATATTGTCTTCGGGTTCCCAACTTTCTTCAATGTTATTCACATTAAAGAGAGAGTCTGGGAACTAGATGATCATTTGTGAGTCAGTAATCCACAACTGTATTCGCGGCCATGAGTGTGGCCTTTCAGTCAGGTGTAACTCGTAGTTACATTTGACGCTCAGGAGAGGCGTAAATGTATCTTTTGGAGTTTTAGCTACAACTCCTATCCATCGCTTTGACCACAGTAAAAACACTTCCACGTGAACAGCTATAAATAGAATAACAGTCGAGTAATGATTGCGTTACTAAAGGTTTGGATCTCATGAGGAAAGATCTTTACACTTGTCGCCGTCGATGCTCGCGGACGTACTCAGCGAGGTAGGATTTGGGAGGAGCAGTTCCGGTAACTGTGCTAAAGGGAACTTGAAATAATTTCGAAAGCAATTTTTCGGCTATCACACGTGGTCTTTCAGTTTTAGGAGATGTTAGCTTCCGCAGTTTACTCGGCTTAAATTTTTTGCAGCTTCATTTCTTTTTAACGTTTCCACGATTCAGACTCGAAGTTATTTCACTCATTTTATTTTGATATCTTATGTAACGAGAAAATGAACAGCATCAACGGGTTGTTGTTATTGGAGAAATCTTTTCCGAATGATTCTCGTTTTTTCACATTGGCTTGCCGAAAATTCTCCGTTCGAATTACGACGACGAACTCCCAATTCTTCGCATGCTGGTTAGACATAATACCACTTACGAGAGTTTTTGAACTTGCTGAAGTGCCAGCACTTCGTTTGATATAAATTCACCTCTTTGTACAGACTTCGACTAAATATTATTTTGAATTTAGTGAAGGTCACTACAATATTCTAACCACCAAATTTGTAGCAATCAATTATTTAATTCGGTGTTCCGTCCTGATAAATCCCTATTCAAGCTGAGGATTTCATTACTTCGCCATATTTGAAGACAATTTTCTCTCAAGTTCTAATATTTTTCAACTTAACTTTTCAAAAGATTTCTTGTTGGAAATCAAGATTAAAATGGGAGGCACGATATTGTGTTTACATACTTAGAGCTTAATTTATGCAAAGTAAAACCTTTGCTGATTCATTGTAACGAATGGAAATACACTCGCAGTTTGCTGCATTTCATTTGTTGTTGTTCTAGGCCAATACAAGCTGTTATCTTTTCAAAACCCTCTACCTTACTTATGAGAACAGGCAAGCTGTAGGGTGAGGTCGTTGTATCAAGTTTTTGGAGGCTTATATTTTTGCAAATTTAGCTCGGAAATAACCCCAAAAGCAACAGCACTGTAATAACATTTTCCCTTTTTGTTTACAGTAGTCTGCTTTGAACAAGAACCTGTCACTCAAATGTCGCTGTATTCCTGTGACGATGAATATGAAGTAGTGGTGATAGGTAAGTATATGTTGTTCTAAAATGCCCAGATTTCAAACATAAAATTGAATTTGTACTTGCATTTGAATTTTCCTCATTAAAATATAGAATTATACCATATACATGGAGTCTTCCTCAGGAAAATGTAGGTAAACAGATACTGTTAACACCTGACAATTCACACGAGTTTTCGAGTAGCAGTTTTTCTAATTAAAATACATGGCCAGATTTGTGGATCTAATTCATCCCTTCATCCTGCTATATTCATTTCTAGGACATTAGACTGACCAAATTGTAATTATCAGATTGCGTGCATTTTGTTAGACAGAGTGCAAATTATGTTCCCACGATCCATGCCTCAAAGAGTCGGTAATCTATTTCAAGCTTCTTTGCACAAGAATGCTACTAACTGGGCAGTGTGTAATCAAGGAAAACTTCAACTGTTTATTTGTCAAATTCAGAGTAGAGGTGTTTTTTTTTTTTTTTTTTTTTTTTTTTTTTTTTTTTTTAGGTAATCTAGGAAATAGGCTCTAATACAATTTCAGTATTACTGAACCTGAATCTTTGTTTTTCCTTATATTTTTCAATCCAGTTGGCAAATGCTTCTACAATAGCAATGTCTTGCCCAAAGGCTACTGATCTCTGCAAACAATGCAAGTCATGAATTCCTAAAACATTATATAGGTTGTCCGTGCATTAGGGTTCTCTAGCCTTTGATCATGTTATCAGTGGGTGATGAGTGACTTGAATGATTGGCTAATTTTCTTAGTAGTTGTTTCAGATTGTAGGCCTCCCTCCTGCAAGCACAATTTGCAAAATAATAACCTTCTCGGCACGCAAACTATGCCTGGGAATTTATTTGTGCTTATTTTTCTTGGTTATGCTCTGAAAAACAACTGCTACAATTACTCTGCATAATTTTTTTGTCTTATTTGTATTCAAGATTTGTGTTGTAAATAAATGAAAACAAACAAAAAAAAAATCAGTTTAATTTGTTTATTTCAATGCATTTGAATTCACACCCCATGCTAAGAAAATGCAAAATTACCATAGTTTTTTAATTTGCCAATCTTAAGATGGAAAATCAGAAACAAGAATTAATTGACCTTTATACCTCAAAATGTGTTTTTGCCAGTTCACTCTACTACCATTTTCAATACATTGTAGAATGGGCAGGTGATGAGTATGGTAAAAGTTGTCAACAAGGAAATAGGGTCTTGTTAAAAGTAAAAGAAAATAAAAAGATAAATGTGGCTTTAGATGAGATCATAACTGTCAGATCCCTGGGTGAAAGGGTAATATGCACAATTAATATGTTAAATGATTTTATGATCTTTGTGTATTGATTATCTGAAAAAAATTGATGTTGTTGACCCTCTTTGTTTTGCAGGAAATGGTCCTAGTGCTTTAAGTCTGTCCTATTTGTTATCTGGAAATGTACCATACTACATTCCTCATCAGCATCCAAATGTTATTCTTGACCAGAAGCTGTCCGAGGAACCTGGAAAATCACTGCTGGACACTGTAAGTTTAACCACAGATTAAATGAAACTAGCCAAACAATTTTAAGGGAAGTTTAATTTCCTTCTTGCCTTTTCAGCATATAATGGCTCAATTTCCTGCCTGATTGATTAAGTCAGTTGTGAAATGATCAGTGATGGAATAATTTGGATCATTGATAATTGATGGTTAATGGTAGTTTTTTCAGTTTAGAGATGTCTTTCAAAAACACTTATTTCCTCACATTCTCATTTTCATTTTCTCATCACAAGAAACAGTGAGTTAGTAATGTAGTGAAAATAGCAAGAGAAAATCTCATTTATTTTAAATGCAAGTGATATCGAATTTTTTTGTCTGAAACATTTTTAGGATTTGGAGTACTTGAGTGAGGGATTAGAAGGGCGCTCTTTAAATCCTGTTGCCCTGTTGTTTGACCAGTTACTACGACCCAATGCTGACCTGGGTAAAGACCAAGGTTCGTGTCTCAAGTGGCATCACAATGAAAACAGAGCTGTGAAACATCTGGTCATGGGGAGCGGGCCCCCTGGAGGATCTTGGCATCATATGCAGGGATCCCAGCTGACCCTCAGCCTTAATAACTGGCTTGAATTACCAGGGTGTGATTTTCAAGACTGGTTGAGGGCTCATCGTTCTTCAACTGTGCGCAAACCATGTAATCTTGTTACAAATGGAGTGAAAAGTGATGGTTACAGTTATGATCGGGCAACAACAAGCCACATTGCGGAATACTACAAGGACTATGTCAATTATACCAACATTGCATCAAACTTTTGGAATGATGCCAAGGTGTTGTCAGTCAAACGTGTAAATCCTGCTGATTATACTAACTGCCACTGCAGAATGTCTAGCATTCACAGAGAAGGCTGCTGGGAAATTCAAGGTGTTAGGGAGACTTTTCCGAGCATGCCTGAACTGTTTGTTGTGCATGCATACAATGTTGTCCTTGCCACAGGAAACAATGTCCCAAAGCTGTTAGGAATTCCTGGAGAAAACCTTCCATTTGTCTGCCACAAGATGGATCATATAGACAGTTATTTAGGAGAACTTAGTGAGATTGCCCATTCAATGGACCCATGTCTGGTAGTAGGGGCAGGATTATCTGCTGCTGACTGTGTCTTAGCTCTGCGCAATAAGGGTGTCCCAGTCATCCATGTGGTGCGCCGGAATGGAAATGATCCTAAAATCATTTACAATCAGCTACCTGGTGTGGTGTATCCAGAGTACTACAAAGTGGGCCAAATGATCAAAGGTGAGGTGACCACAGCATATGGAAAAGATTCCTCCTATGTGGCTTACACCAAGACTACCCTAGTGGAGATTCGTAAAGACAAAGAGTGCATTCTGAAGAAGGCTGATGGAACCCTCTTTAAGCAGAAGGTCTCGAATGTTTTTGTGTTGGTTGGTGCAGTTCCAGATCTTTCTTTCCTGTCTGATGTCAATACTAGTGAACTTGGAAGTAATCCTGCAAAGAAAGTTGATAGCAAGGAGAATCCTATCAATATTAATCCCTTTAGTTATGAGACTGTTCTGGAACCAGGCTTGTTTGCGGTTGGCCCTCTGATTGGAGACAACTTTGTCCGCTTTGGCATTGGAGGTGCACTAGGTATTGCAAATCATCTCATGAGGGAAGAGGAATAGTTTTCTCTCTGAACCTGGGGGAAAAAAACTTAGCTCATGGTGGAATACAAGATTTATTTAAATATTTAGATGTAATTTTTATTAACTTTATTCTAATTTAATAATTTGTTGGTAAGACCTCAAAAAACCAATCTTCCCTTTTTTTAAAAATGTGGTGCAAAAAATCAGATTAATAGATATCTTTAAGGTTGAAACAATTACATCCAACTCGTAGTTCAATGTTATGCTTCACTAAAATTTTCCATATCTCATTTACTGGTAATTTTAGACTCAAATGAGACAAGGTCAAATTGCTGTCCATCATCAAGTTGAACACTGGAAGTTGTTAAGTTTCATGTGTTCTTTTGGGTGGCTGATATGACCTCAGCCTTTAACATACTGGGTAATTGTGTTAATGATATTGTTGTGTATAAATTGTGTATAACCCTTACATTGTATCTTGAACAGTAGAAGTTTTTTCTTTGTGTAGTTATGGGGCAGTGATCTATGAGGTGCCAGAGTGCATCAAAGAAAAATTGGACTACTTTAATTGTCAAATTACAGTACTTTTGTTTTTATTTACAGTTTTTATAGGGAGCCATTTATTTCTCTCCAAATTTTTGTATTTTGGCTGTGATTGTTCAAATAAAGTTTCCTACAGAGAACTTGTGCAACATTTGAAGGCAATGTAACAACTTGTCATCAGTGAATTGTAAAATTTTTAACTTAAAGAGTTGGACCTATAAGTTCATTTTACTAAACGACTAGCAAAGGCTAGAAGACTTGTATTTATTCCACCATAATATATAAAAGGCTTGTAGTTTGCTGGACAAAAAACACCTTTCATTAAAAAACTGGATTTGTCTTATTATTGGCTGGTTTATTCTTTAAATCTATGGAACATTGGTTAATGTCAGTCAATGATGTTACCTCAAGGTTTGGTCTTGGTGAGAAACCTCTGTGTTTATTTTTACACAAGGCTTTAACAAAGGAAAAAATAAAAATGCAAATTCATTTGCGGGAACATTCGTGTCTCTCAGTTAACACTGTCACCGATTGGCGTTATGAAGTTCATACTAGTCTCCAAGCCATTAGCAGAAGGCCTTAGAGAAGTTCTCAGCTGTCTCTCAAAGGCTAAATTGTTCAGTAATTGTTGCTGAGCTACTTCACAGTTACTGTGTTGGTCATTTATTACTTAAGTGCTTGAAGATAGTTTGTCTCTAATTTTATGACTTTTTCCTCTACAAACACACTCCTGATTTTTCAATAACTCTATGTGCACTATTAATTACAATAGTGAGAAAAGCAAAGGGAATTAGATGGAAGTGAAGCAGAGTCTATATACTTCATTATGGCCGCACATTGTTTTAAACAGCACGTAAATGAATCAGTAATCAAGAACCTGCTTCTAAACCTCATGGAGCTCTTACTGACACAGTGGACTGTTGTTATGTATGATGGCATCTGCTTTACTCTTTCATCTGCGATGTTATGGATCAAGAGGTGTAACATGCATTGTAGACAACAAATGTCAAGGTATTAGACAAGTGCTTTTAATTCATCTGGAATGCCTGAGTATATGAGACTTCATGGGCAAGGTTTGACAAATAGCAAAAATCATGAACTTTTCAACCCCCCCTTTAGTTACAGCTTTTAAGGTAGAAAGTTTACAAATTTTGTTTCTTTGAACATGCTTGTTTGGATTTCCCTTTTTTTTCTTTCCTTTAACATGCACGGTGTTTGGGATCAATTGTGTACAAGGGAAGAAGTAACAAATCAACAAGTGGGAAGAGCAGCATTTTTAACTTGAAAAATGGGAAATATTTGAATCTTTGCTAATTAACTCAGTCATAGACTTAAGTGTTTAATTATAAATTATTTATCGAAGGCACATGGTTTGCTGGACAGTCCCAACTACACTTTTAATTTATTGAATAATAACATTTCTCAATAAAAAATAGTATCTGGTAGTTTCTCTTGAAATTTTGAAAAGAAAATGTGAAATTGGCATTGAGAAGGGTTTGAAAGTATGACATTTGTCTCATTATCTGGTAGTTTTCTCCTGAAATTTTGAAGAGAAAATGTGGATTTGGTGTTGAGAAGGGTTTGAAAGTATTGTAACCTTTGGGAAGTGACCAGTCAGGAATAATTTTGTTACATCATTGGAATCCCTTGGAGAAGTTTAAGTGATATATTCCTATGAAACCAAAATGGAATTAATGAAAACAGCCAATTGGGTGTCCTCATCTCACTGGTGAGCAAATACGGCTAAAAGTTAAGAATAACAAGTAAGAAATTGAAGTGAAAACAAGCAAACTGCCAGAGGCACAGGAAAACGTGTATAGCCTTATCTCATGTGGTTTTACTTTTAGTGTCTGAGTGAATTTTAGACCAATAAGAGAATAATACAGCAGTGTAATTTCACCCACCATAAAAAATTCCTTTTTTCTGAATTCTCCTGAAATGCATGCTTAACTCACAAGCCCAAGATGTGTTGATGAAAACTAAATTTAATCTAACCAAAACAATATTACATAAGCATCACAAGTTTATTCAATGTACTTTCTAGGCTTGAGATGGTCATGCGAGAATAAACAGAACTATCGGCATTTAAAGTATCATGTACACTCTAAGGATGACAGTAATAGGAATACATTGTTGGTCAGAAGTTTATCAATTAGTGGAGTTAAAAAGTAGTCAGTGATCATCATTTCCTACCCTTACCTTCTGCAAAAGTATCTCATCTTGTTCTACAAATTTTAAAATAGTTTTGTACATATTAAGTCTTTGCAAGAGATAATAAGCTAAGAGACTCACACAAGACTCTGTTACTAATAAAAGTAATTCCTTTCCAGGTTATTTTTAGACTCACGTTATCTCATCTCTCAGAATAACATCACAATGCACTCTGTGTGTTTCTAGGATTTGATCATAGTCATTAATAGCATGGAAGCCACATGGGTTGTTCAAGTGTAATTTAATCTCCTTAATGCTGCAGTTTAAACTAACTTTGGAGCGTTTCCTGAAGGCCTGCTTCTATGAGGTGGCTTTTATTGTTAAAAGATCTTTCTAAAGTCTGATAGATCACTTGTAACTATCATGCAAAACAGAAACTTAACATTCCACTATCTAACTAACGATAAAACTTACTAAAGATGTTGTAGACCATCTAGATGTACCTTTCAAGAAAATTTCTCTTTTTATCCTCAAATGCATGCTGCATTCTTCACCTTCAGTGCATTATTTAATGAAAGGCAAAAGGCAATCAAAGATATACAGTATTTGTGACATGAAACTGGCTTTATCCAGATCCTCCTGAGTTTCCAGGACAGGGATTCCCTTGAGTATGGTCCTTATTTTTGTGGGGGGAGTGGGGGGGGAGGACATGGGATTCACCCTCAGCTTGCTCCTCTCTTAGTTTAGAGTTTTTTAATCTCAGTTTCTAACAACAGAAGCACCTGATGCTTAATACAAAGGAAAAGTTACTAGTTTAAGTAGCAGAAAATCCACACAAGGAATGTATGTACAGGTACTTTTCATCTTCCTACTCCATGCAATGTTTACTATTCAACCAAAACATTAATTTCAAAAGATTACATTTGTAAAATGATATTTTTTCAGTGTTCTTGCTTCTTCCAGAAATTTTCATTCACTTGACAACTGTCTGGCTTGTCATAGTTTACAGACCAACCACTTCCTTAATCTATAAATTTTTTCAAATGTACTAGCTTGGAGATGTGTTTCACTGTTGTTTACTCTTCAGTTGAGCTCTCTTCTGGGTGATGGCCTGGAAACCTGATTTGATACTGGCAACAGATCTTCTTGATCCACATGTTTCACACTGAATGAAAAACAATCTAGTTTCTTTCTGCAGGATGGTGTCTGGAGATCTGCAGGTGTTACATGTGACATACTCCTCTGTGGGAGACACAAACAAGGCGGATTAACCCTTTAACTCCCTGAAGTGATTAACAACCTCTCTATACATTACCTTGCAAACAGGTGATGAGAATACACAAACTTATCAGGCAGAAGTTGCTATCTTGATCTAACACCAAATCCTTGTAACTTATGTAAAAGGAAATATGAAGCAGCTCGAGAGAAAAGTTAACAATCAGATCTTAGTGAGTTAGAGAGTCAACTTGCTGAAGTTACACTGACACAACTCATTAATAGGCAAAGCGTCCTTAAAAGTTAAAAATGCCTTGATGCAAATTGTAATTAGACTTACTAAATAACCAATGAGGGAAATTGTATTGATGCTATACTTCACTATCCCAAACAAGGGTCCATGCCATTTAAGCATAGGAACTTATGGTCAAACTTTGGATGGAGTATCAACAACAATTGATTCTAAAAATATTATAACTGCACTTACTGATGTATCTTCTAAGCACATTTTCAATCATTTTTTGTTGGAAACGTCCTTTAATGATAAGTTGATTATTTCCATCAATTGAACCACTGCAAATAATTCAAACAAAACCAAATCAGAATTACAGAAAGAAATTCTCACAATAAAATTTGTGTAAATATGTTAAATGAATTCTAATTCTCAAAAGAATTCAGACTCCATGACTCAACCGCCAAAATGAACTTCCATTTTTTTGAAAAAACTTGCTGCCTACAACAGTGCAGCTGTTGTTACACATTAAGAGTAAAACAAGATGGACATCCATACCTTGTTCCTAACTCTGCCAGGAGAAAGGCTAAAAGATGTTTTGGTTGTCTGTGTAAGCTGCAAAAACAAAAAAATTTCATCTTCTTATATCTGAATCAACAAGAACTCTTCAGATCTTTAAGGCATTATGGACCCAATGTGGAGCACATGGCATAAAAATCTAAAAATTACTTTTTGGCAAGTCTCAAAATGTCAAAATTATCTTGAGCTCTTGAATCTCCTAATAACCATTGATGCACAATATTACAAACTTTATTAAAATAGTTGGAGACATGGTACCTTAGGTGTTACTTCCTTAGACTTTGAATCAAAAAGCTTAGGTTCCCACCCCTGGTAGCATCACACTAATGCACTCTGCTGTCAGACACTTTGCTCTCAATAACCCTCTCTTTGTGCAGGAGTACAAATGGATACCAGGGAACAGTAACAAAATGACAAAATCTGGGGAAGGGGGTTCTTGGACTAGCATCCCATCTGAGGGGGGAGGGGGTGGGGAGGATAAAGTAGCAATATTGATGTCTCTTCATGCCACTTAAACCTAGTCATTTTATTTTTCAGCCATATGGAGCTTTTGGCTTTTAAGCTGATCTTACCTTTACATTGTTACAGGTGCATAATGACTACGTTAAACTTGATTACAATAGCCTCAAACTTTCATACACATACATTTTACAGATGTCTGTGAAGTTGGCAAATGATGTCTTTTTGGTTCCTATCCGGACTACTTGTGGTGGTTTCATCACAAACTTCTTTTTTTCTCCCGTCACCATTTCAGGGTTTTTAGCTCGCATAATGTCAAACACTCTGGTTAACAACTGTGTGTGTCAAAAACCATGGATGAGTGAAACAAAATGTAATTCATTCATGTAATCATTTATCAATGTTGTTTGCAAAATAGTACAATTTCATTTATAACATCCTCTGGGTGTGAAATTAATTTTTTTTCTGATAGCCACTTGGCTCCTAAATTTTTCAAAGTGGTAGCCAATTCAAAAAAAGTTGGTCACCATTTTTAAAAGACAAATGTTCATGCTCACCTAAATCCAAGATGGCATCTAGTTATTTATCAAGATGAATATGCTGCATTTTGGAAACAAACTTTAAGAGAAAGTTTGCTGTGGATTTATCTTTTCAAATCTTTTTAATTCACCATATCTCTAGGTAAGGTTATGATGAAGCATTCTAGTTGCCAATTTGGCGACTAATTTTCAGGATTTGGTTGCCAAAGTGAAAAATTTAGTTGCATTGGTACCTTTATTGGGCACAATTTCATGCCCTGTCTTCTGCACAATCATAACAAATACCTCTTCATATGTGTAATCTCTATCATTCCAGGCAGGCACATTGTCGTCATTATCATCTAACATATCTCCTGGGACAAAAAAGAATTATACTTGTCAAATTCACAAAATCAAGTGTTACATTATAACATCTATGTTCAATACTTTTTTGCACTTCTAATTTAGCTCTAAGCCTGTCATCCAAAACTAAAATAAACTTTACCATCATCTGCATCAGAATCTGCTCCATTTTCTATCCCTTTGGACTCAACTTCATTCATATCTGTCTCATCCAGAACCTATTGAAAAATACAACATATCCAAGTTAAAAAAAAGGAGCATTCCCAATTTTTTTCCCCTCACAAAACAACAACAACAAATAACAAAATGAGGGAAATTTACATTTGTAAGGAATTCAACAATCTTCTTGAAGGACTGGCTAATTTCAAAAACCTGTATCCTCATAAAATGCAGTTTAACATATTTATGTGTCAACAGAAATGTCAGCAAAAACACAAAGGGCTCAACAATAAAAAAAAATTCTGAGGTTGTGCTTTCTTTTTTGGCAAAATTGAACGGCTTTAAATTTTGAAAAAGAAAGGAACTGACAATGTCTTAGCTAGGATATTTACTGCTCCTGGATGATCAGATTTCTATTAAAACAATAATGAAAACTATGACAGAACTAAATGAAAGATAATAAATTACAAACCGGCTTTTTCTTTTTCTTCTTCTTTTTTGTGGAAAAACTGAAATCAAGGTCGTCTTTAGTTTCAGCATTGTTTTCCTTTTCCCCGTCATTTCCTCCAGTTTCTTCTGTTTTGTTTTCACTGGCTGAATCCTGGAAATAAAAAATTAAAATGTTCAGCAACTGAAAAAAGTGCATCTGCAATAGAATTGAGCAAGCATGAGCATAAAACTAATTCAAGATTTACGGGCAAATTTTAAGCTTGGATCAATGAATGAGTTGTCAGTAATCAGATCCTTCTGTTTGCACCAAGATTTCTGGGACCGTCACAGGGCAAGTCACTAGAAAGAAATGCATAGCAAAAGGTTGTTTTATTGTCCGGAAAAAAGGATTTTGGAGAGAGATCATCCTCTTTTTGCTCCTGTTTACCAGAAATGAATTTGGGTAATGTTGATACAAGGGAAGTGTAAGTATTTGTTTGGAAAACTACGAAATATTTAAAATATCAAGTAACTTTTCTCCATGCGTGATGTTCATTGTGAAATTGGTACATTTCCTTGTATCAACATTACCCACCTCCATTTCTGTTTAACAGTGGCAAAAAAGCATTGATCTCTCCCTCCAAAATCTTTTTTTTTTTTTTTTTATAGACTTTAAAAAAACTTTATGTCAAATTTTTCATTCTAACAACTTGCAATATTAGCCCGGTGGCAATTCCAGAAATTTTTGCGCAAACACAAGGATCCAATTACTGGCAACCCATTCATTATTGCATCAGCCAAGTCTGTCACACAATCACATACCGGAAGAGCATCCTCTAGACCCTCCATATCATACGGCTTCTTTTTCTTCTTTTTCTTTTTCTTAATTCCAGAAAAGTCATCCAGATCCAAAATATCTGCAAGATCACATACATGATAATTAGCTTTGTAAGAGATTGTTAAATGAGAGATATTCAGGGCAGTGGAAAGAAAAGAGTCCTGCTAATAAATGACTGTGATTGTCGATAGTTGCAATTTATCAATTTATCAGGAACCTTTGCCCTGAAATTGTGTGTTTACAACTTGTTTGTTTGTTCAGATATTTATAATGAATTGTTTAGCTAAATTATGAGCAATTTTGGATTAATTATCATTAACACATGATTGAAATCAATTAGTCATTGCGTATATTGTACAAAAAGTTCCTTCTCTTCAAATCTATTCAAAATCAATTTCTCCTCAAACAATTTACAATCAGCTGGCATCTAACTGCAAGGATCTCCCTCCCTAAGAGCTAATATGTCTAAAGATAAACTTTTGCACAAGTAATGTAAAAGGTATATAAATGGAAGCAAGTACAAACTCTACCATTGATTCAGGCTTCTTTTTTGAAACTGGTGTTGAGTAATAGCCTCATTTGACAGACAATTTATGAATAGAAAGATGACGTTATTCATTGAATGACACAGGTATACTCAAAAAAAGAACTCTAAGAACTCCTAACAGCCTCAAACTACTACTTTCTACCACTCAGCTGTAAAAAACTCTTGGTTGGCTAGGCAGTTTAATGAGATCTGTGATGAAAAATTTACCATCTTCATTAACATCGTATTTGCGCAAAAGCATCACATATTGACACTACTATCCGAGCAGTATGCAGGAAGTAAATGCATAATCTTGTATCTTTGTTTTGATTCAGACTACCTTCAGGGAAATTCAAGTTGAATTTTTTGGGGGGATTTGGGCTTCTTCCTTGGAAATTCAAGTTAACAAAGATATGTGCCATTAATTACTGAACCATTTATAGGAAAAACAATAAATCTAAAGGGCAATCTGTGTTTCCTAATTCACCCTCCGGTCTTATATGTACAGCTATTAATTTGATGCTTATAAACTGAAAATAAATAATTGAAAACTGAAATAAATAAGACTAGAGATCAGTTGTTTCCTTTTCAAACTGGGGATATCGCAGCACTTTTATTTAAAAAAATTATGTTCACACCATCAGCCATATTACAAATCAATGACATAATAATTGCTGATACAAAATTCTCAGGAATAAACAAATGCTGCTCCTTTTGCACCGACTCAAGCAAACTCTCGGATGTACTGTAATTTTTATGAATGATCAACTGGTGCTATCTCACGCAATAAATAGTCTTTCCCGATCATAATTTTCATCATAACGCATTAGGCATTCTGGTGTTTGCAATCTTGATCTGAAAACTGGGTTAAATGATTCAAACGTCCTTGTAAGACAAACGTCTGGTTGAGCTCAAATCAAGAATCTCGCGAGACTAAACCAGACCTGTGTATATGAAAATTGTCCGCAGTTTCTCGGATTTGTGGATGCTTAAAACTTAAGAACGGAGACAAAAGTCCGTGATAGAGATCAGTCTGTGCTAAATCTACACATTCTACATAAACATCGAAAGAGATCACGACATTCAGTTGTGTCTTAACTTCATAATCATGCATGCCTTTTGAATCAAATATCATGTATCATCAATTTTACCTTTGTCTTCTTTCTCTTCTTTCTCCTCCACAGTATTTTCCTGATTTTCCATTTCATGAGTATTCTCGTCCATATTTGAGGGAGTACTAGGTTCCTCAAGTGCATCAAGATCAAGAGGTACCTTCTTCTTTTTCTTCTTCTTCTTCATAGTTGGGTCGAACATCTACGATTTTCAGAGAAATTTGATAGACATCGAATCAGTTTGAAGTCCACTTCTTTCCATAATAGCTCCACCGATAAGCGAAGCATACTTACCGCTTCATCCTCGGCCATTTTGATGTATCAATTCACTGAAAGATAGTCCTTTTTGTAAAAAATCAAACTGAAAATTCCTCGTTGATGTAGAGAATTTTATACATCTCCACATGCAAGTTGCGTCAGCCGTCTGCGCATGAGCAAAGGCTAAACTCGTTTCCAGTCATCTTTAGCATAAAAAGGGATTTTTCTTACGAAGTCTCCGTTTTTACGAAGTCTCCCGAATGCAGGTCAAGTCTTCCGCTTTCCCGCAAAATTCTGAATGGAAACTCTACAGGCTAAGTTTAATCTGAAAGTGTCCCAACAAAAGAGTGTGGATATTTTTTTTCTTAAGCCCACGTTCGTCACAATAGGAAAAAACATCTTTCTCTAAAGGAGAGGGAAATTACATCATTTTTACTACGATTAAAAAACAATTCAAACTAATTCATCATTTTGGCGAATTTTTCCCCCTGTCTGGACTTCACTTCCTGGGTCCGATTTAGCGATTTACACCAGTTTTGTTGAGGGAGACTGGGAAGAAGGGATCAATCAGTCAGAAAATTCAACGAGGTTGGGCGATGATCTGAGTTCAAACATCTCCATATTTCATGTTCCCAGAGACTTCGGATAACTAAGCGAAGAAATGGAATACCAGGTTAAAACGCTTTTTTTTTTTTGGATATGCATCGCTAGTTTCACTAGACACGATCCTTCCACCAAATCCATGTTTGACCAGTCTACGACATGATGAAAGTCGATAACAGTCGATAATGATAATGGATCAACGGCGATGAAAGATGAAACATTTTCCTGCGATTCGCCATTGATTAACAATAGATACAGAGTTTTGTTATCGACTGATCGTGCTGATATCGATTGTTCTCGGTTACGTATAGGCTTTCGTCGCAAGTCGTCGATTTGATGGGAGGAGCTGGTAGCGAAAAACAGGACAGTGGACACTGAACTCGGTAGAAATCCGTTAAGGGGCCCCCATCCATGAGGAAATGCCTGAACGCAAATTCATTTTAAACGCAAACGAAAATGAAAAAAATGACCGATATAAAATAGATGGCTACAAAGAGATGCTTTCCTTGAGGTTGTAAGCTGGTGGAGAGACTTAAAGCAACTAACTCATCCGTATCACTCAAATGTTTGTCACATTTCTCTCCACAATGAAATGAGTGGACTAGATACGACAAACGCCGGTGACTGAAGTATTTCTAATATTCTATGGTCGATTTCCTATGTTTCGATACAGAAAAAAACAAATGCTACGAGTGAATATTTATTCACCGATCAGTAATCGCTATTGGCATCGATGATTGGTTTCCACTGATTAAGTAACAAGGCCAAGAGAAAAATTATGGTCTATGTTACACTATCTCTCGCACGAGCGCGCGTGGTCTAACGCAAGCAAGCTCTTTTTTCCGTTAGCAGAGAGAACGACGCGAGGGACAGATGAAAGCTCCAAACGAGAGCGTTCATATCACCTATCAAATAATACTTATCATGGCGTCTGAGGTCTGAGAAACACTTAATTTGAAAAACATAATAGGTTAATTGATGAAGAAATAATTCTTAACGGTTGATTACGAATTTTACGTCATAATAGAAAGCACGAACTTCTGAGAAAGCGCCAAACCCAGTTTCAGATAAGTGCTGTCTTGACAATGTAGCCTCCACGCAGAAAATAGTTGTATGCGGCAGAAAAGACGTTTGCCTCAGGAACCGAGTTTCAAAAGGCAGGCGATGGAGGATAGTTTCGTCTTTTCGGACGAAAAATACTCGAAAGATGTCCTGAAGCGATTGAGTGGATTGCAAAAACAGGGGATTATGTGCGATGTTAGAATCACAATGGAAGGTGAAGAATTTCAAGCCCACAAAAATATTCTGTCGGCAAGCTCAGACTACTTCTTCGCTATGTTCAATGGAAATATGAAGGAGAGTAAGCAGAGGGAGGTTACCATCACCGGGGTTGATAAAGACAGCATGAAAATGATACTGGGATTTATTTATACTGGCGAGATTGTGTTAGACTGGAGCAATGTAGAACCGATCCTACAGGGCGCCAATCTGATGCTAGTGCAGTCTGTAAAAGATGCTTGTGGGCGTTTCCTTGAAAGTCGACTCAACGTGAAAAACTGCCTTGGTATTCAAACTTTAGCAGAAACCTACGCGTGTCCAAAATTATGGACAACTACGAACACTTTCATCTATCAGAATTTCCTTCACGTGGCCGAGAGTGAAGAGTTTATGAATTTGGACGAGAAACAAATCCAGACTTTATTACAAAGTGACGAGATCTCAGTGGAAAACGAGGAAAAAGTTTACGAAGCTCTTGTTGGTTGGATAAACTACGATTTGGAAAATAGACGGCCGTTTTTTCCCTCATTAATGGAAGATATTCGCCTGCCTCTTGTTTCCCCGTACTATTTAGTTGACGTGGTTGAGCACGAAGAACTCTTTAACACTTCTCCGAGATGTAAAGAACTATTGCTTGAAGCACAGCATTATCACTTGTTACCAGACCGTCGCCAGCATCTCGACACCACTAGAACGAGACCGCGCAATTACGAACGTTTTCACGAGATTCTCATTGCTATGGGCGGCAATGGAGACTATCATAATCAAAGCACGGGTAGGTTCAATTCTCGGGTAGGTTCAATTCTCGCCTGTGGGCACAATTAAGGCAGTGGTAAAATTTTCTTAATTCGATATGACTGTGTTTCGAATTTCAATTTTCTCTTTCCCTCCCCCTTTGGAAAATTTTGTTCTTTGTATATTCACACGCAACGCGCGTCAGATCTGGTCGATTGGTCTATCGTATTTCAAGACCTTGAAGTCAGCATTAGGGTTAATGTGGACGCTCTCGTAAAAACTTGTTTTCGTAGTTGAGTTGAGTTTTTGAGCCGAGTTACATGAGATATAATTAAAAGAAATTAAACGGATTTTATCTTTTTTTTCAAATTGCACACATATGGAGAATGCATCGAAATGTTTTCAACTCTTCTCTGTTTTAGTTTTCGGCTTCAACATTGTAACCCAGGTATGGTCCGACCTGCCACGGTTCACAAAGGATCGCGGGTATCATGGCATTGCAAGTTTTGGAGGACAGCTCTACGTGACTGGAGGTTATTGTAACGTCAACTCTGAGACACTCGACATAGGTGACTAACTAGCGCGTTTGACAATTTTTTTGATAGAACAGGTCCCCTGTGTAAGTCCTATTCCTTGCGAAATGATTCAAAGAGTTGTGTACATTCACTCTTGAGAATTTGGCTTTCTTTCAGACCTATACCTTAAAAAAGTGATGCAATGTTCTTTCAAGTGGTTACTTTTATTTAAAAAAGGAATCAGAGGGAATTGTCCCTAGGACTTTCTTTTATTGTTTCTCTAGCAAAGAAAACAACTTTTTTCCACTCATTTTTACAAAAATTAATCATATCCAATACAGTTTCCTCTACTGTGATTGGTGCATTAGCTGCGTTATTCTTCACTACTCGTTCTGTACATTTGTAGTCGGACAGTTCGCTGTAATTGGACACCTGTAATTGGACAATTGAAGCAGCCAGTTCTACTTATTCCTTTCAACCAAATCCACCAATCACAGATTTGATCACTATAACCATAACAACAACCATTTATCCTAAAAAAACTGTGGAGTTTCCAAAATTGAGGAATTTTTTACTTTAGACATTGTCTCTACTAAGTATAAATGTATTTGCTGTTTTCGGAAATTGTAATGCTTGTGATTAATTGGTAAATCATACTTGTGATTGCCAACTGGGACTCACGCTTCGCGGTCGTCCGATTTTTACGGACCGAATTGGACTCCACTAGTTCCTATTAGCATTACTAATTGTCTTCGCAACGACTTTTTATTCTTAGCCCAGAGATATGATGTACGACAGAAGGAGTGGCATAACATGCCCAACATGTTGACAAGGAGAAGTAAACACGGCTCCGTGGAGGTAGATGGTCATGTATACATTGTTGGCGGCTATGACGGTCAAAACACGCTCAACTCCATAGAATGTTTCAGTCTTCAAGCAGGAAGGTAATAATGTGTGGGTATTATGTGAGACAACACAGTAGAAAGAGGAACAATATTCAGTTAAGCGTTCATAGTTAAGCGTCTGGGATTTCATTGATTCGGTCACTGGTCTTAAAGGACGTACTGAACAAAAACTTTTAAGACTTATTATGAATACTTCATCACCTTCGCAGAGTCAGAACTCCTCACACAAGCTTTACCGGCTCGCAGACATAGAGCCCGAAGCACTCTTTTTAAGTTGCCAAGTCAAAACGACTTCTGGAATTAAGGATATGTTTTCCAACTTAAAGTAGCTTCTATACTTTTCGTCTCGAATCACTATTATGTCGCCTCATCGGGATAAGGGCATAGGGGCCGAAACCTCTCGAGGACAATAAATTCGACGATCCACTTAATTCATTAATTTAGTATCTTGTATTTGTTAAAGATGGCGCACCAAGTCTCCCATGCCGACAAGAAGAAGATGTGTCGCCGCGGTAGCTCACGGGAAGTCTATTTACGTCATTGGCGGCCATGATGGTTCCAGTATTTTAAACACAGTCGAGTGCTATGACACTACAAGGTAAATAATCCTGTTTTGAAATGACTTCACTGCGAATATGCGTTCGGTAAAAGTATTTCTCGTGGCTAAAACAAAAATCATTTCCACGAGAAAAGAGAAACGTAACTGATGTATCACATGTGAAACATGTAACTGCCGTGGCTTAGAGCGGGAAACATGAAACCTTTACACGCAACCGCCGCACAAGTCAGGAAACCAAAAACAATTAAAAGTCGCCCCATTAGTTTAGTTTTGGCTTTTGATGAGCTAATAATCAAGTTAATTCCCCGTAATTTTTAGTCAGTAATACTTATTACTCATTGACAAAGTTCTGTTGCCTTGCTTGAAAGCGTAACATAAAAAAAGATCTTAGTCTTCTCAGGGGCCATCAATGGGAGCCTCTATCTCCTATATTAATAGACCATGATTGGTTTGTTATCCCAGACAAGATGACACAGATTTCTGAAATTCAATGCGTTCCGAGTTCCACAGTAATCGAGACACGTAGACTCGCGTTTGATTGGCCCAACAACAGCGACATCAAATATGCCACAGAATAACTCTTTCTTCAATCTCGATAGGGATTCTTGGAACTCCACAGAAGTTCAACCGATGCACGACAGACGTTCTTTTCCAAGCGCGCTTGTCGTGGACGACGAAATGTACGTGTTAGGCGGTTACGATGGTAACGACACCCTCAGATCGGTGGAATGCTACAGTTTTACGACGCTTGAGTGGACTCAAGTGACTCCCATGTGCACGCCCAGGTCCAACGCCGGAGCATGCGTATTTAACAACAAAATTTATCTCGTCGGGGGATGGGACGGGATTAGTTTGAACTCGGTAGAATGCTTCGACACAGCTACCCAGGTGTGGCAGCGCATGCCCTCCCTCCCCCGACCAACAACTGGTGTGCGATGCTGTTTTTTATCCTTCCAGTCTACGAGCGAACAAAAGCAACCCAAGAACAGAGGCAGCCGCGGCCATATGTGTATTATATGCTAGCGGGATTTTTGCTACATCTTGCCTTGAAAGTAATCTTGTATTGAGGTGTTTTTTTGCAGTGTGGCGTAATTTTTTGCGCGGGTTCGTTCGTAGACTGAAAGACTATCTTAACCTTTTTGTAAACAAAATGAAATTAACATTTCGTTCTCGATAAGTTGACCATGAACAATTTGACTGTTTTTGCTGCGAAGACCGCATGGCCTTGGTAACTTTGCAATAAAAAAAAAATCCGTGTTTGTTGTGATAGTGACAAACAAAATGGCGCACAGAAATCTGGTTATAACCAATAAATTTCCTGGCTTTTCTATTTAATTATTATAAATTATTTTATGTTTTCACACTAGACGGTTATTTACCCATCTTCTCCATGCCATGCCTGAAGGGTATAGGAGGCGACTTTCGGTTAATCTACAGCCTGCCTCATTCACAGAGCTAGACTGGTGCCACCCCATCCCTTCACCACCGCTGCATCTAAGGCACATCTGTTTCTGCTAGTGTTGCTTTTCCCTGCACGATTTAGCTTCCTTTGAGGGATGACACACTATGAGACTGACCAAAATTTACAGTTAATTCAGTACAAACTTAGTCAAGTTCAAGCGAATCATTGACCTCAGCGTTCTCCACAGAGTCATCATCGAGTGACCGGGAAACATTCTCGTCAGCTGTTTCATTTAAGGGTAATGAACCTTCCTCCTCTTTCGTTAGAGTCGACGACGTATTAGACTGCTTCTGCTCCTCGGAGCTGATTGACTGGACACCATCTTTTAACTCCTCGAGAGAAATATTTTTTTTTATGTTGTCTGAGACTTCCTCCATTTTTCTCGTTTTACCAACGTCATCATCTTTTGAATGGACATTTTCTCTCAGTCCCGATTCATTACTAGCTTCTGGTCCATTTTTCAAGTCCTGCTTAAGATTCTCTTGTGTACTTGTTCCTTTGACCTTAGACGGCTTGTTCGCCTTAAACGAATTAGTAGTTGCCTTGACGTTTTCTGAAACTTGCTGACGACAAACGCGTGAATTTGAGACCGACGGCCCCTTTTTAGCTTGTGCGCCACAACCCTGTACAGAAAAGAGCTTGTCTCTAACGATTCGCTTTGACGAGGTATTGTTAATATCTCGGTTGGTACCTTTTGGTACTGGCGGCCTGGAAACTAACGGGACCTTTCTTATGGCGCCAGATGAACTTGGAGCCGACGAGGGCCTCGCATTGGAGCTACTTTGAGTCCATAAAGACCTTGTGCCTTTACTAGATGTTGCAGTGTGTTGATGAGAGCTTTGAGAAGAGGTTTTTGATGTTTCCCTATGCCCTGATGCTGAGGAATTTTGATAAGATCGTGAATTAGGTAGAGAGTTTCTATCAGAGCTCCCTGACAACGAAGAAGACGCTCTCGAGCTTCTCGACGGCATTGAAGCCTGAGATGAGGAGGGTCTTTTTCCAGAATCACTGCTTGTCGCTGAAGATATTTTTCCACGGACTGACCTGACACCGCTCCCATCAGTCGAGGGCCGTCCTGAGGAAGGCCGCATATTCGTAGGTGCAAGTCCGATACTATTTCGGGAGCTCCTACCTGACGTGGGCCCACTTTGCTGAGAGCTCCTGTCAGAAGCAGAGTTCCCTCTCCCTTGTCCTGTCGTACGAGATTCAGTTGCAACTCGTTGAAAAGATCTCATAGTTGATGGCCTGGCGGACGCCTAATAAAAGAGACAGGAAAATAGGAACAAAACAATGAGGGTTGATTCAAGTTTCCACACTTTTTTCAAACAGTTTCAGAACTCAATATAGATTGTTGGTGACAATCACAGAGCCCGTGGGTTTATGGCACAACCGACAAAATGTGACAGGCTTACTTGCGGAAAACTACATAATGCAATTCGCGAATGAATTACATCAACTCATCACACTTTCATTTCTGAACATATCTCCAGCTCCTTGCCTTTAAAGCCTGCATCATCATTTCACCTGGTCTGAGCCCTATGCATGTCATCCAGTTTACGAGGCAGTTTAAGCAGAGGCTAGGGTAGTTTTTTGACAATGACACTCGCAGCTTTGTTGGAATTTTTAAAAAAAAAAACTACAGAAAAAAAGCCTGAAAATTCCGGATTGGACGGAATTCAAACCCGTGCCTCCCAACGTATGGCTTCGTGGCTCAGTTGGAAGTAACGCGTTGTTAGGGGCATGGGTTCGAATCCCGTCGACGCCGTAATGTGCATGTGTGTGTGTTTGCGATATTTAGACAGGCTGAGCCGGTTCAGCTCAGAGCTGGTTTAAATGGGGGCCTGTGTAAAAACTGAAAAGTCCAGACCACAACACCGGGAGTTACGTTCCTTTCTCTTTGCGAGAAGTGTGTGGGTTCTTTAACGTCTCCTGTTAGCCAGTACAGAGAAGAGACAGGAGGCGGAGCCTACGGCTTATCGTCTTTATCCAAGAACATTAGAATTTCAAACCATTTGCCGATGTTAAAAGCAAAGGCAGCACATTCTCCTCAGTTATTTTAAGACCTTGAGTGTGGGTTCGGTCTGGGGCTTGAACCCTTGACCTCCTGCAAGTCAGTCTTCTTTCTGCAATTGCAGCGCAAGTGCGAGAGTCATTACTTTACTTGATTTTCAACCGCAGGTCAAACTAAAATCTGTGTCATGTAAAAATTGCGACCCAAATTTTGCTCAACCAATAAATTTGGTTCGACTTTCGTTCGCTGAAATTGAACTTACTTGAAGAGAACTTGGCACACTTCTCCTCTTTCCGGTGGAATTTTCACCTGAATCAGACAGACCACCAAACAACGCACCTGTTGGACAAAAGTAAAATTAAGCTTTTCGCCTCGTCTTAGAATTGATCAAAAAAAGGGTATCCCGGGAGCTTGAAGCCTGCTCTGTTAAAAATTCCGCACTTCAGAAGGGATATTTCATTGAACAATAACCTGGAAATTAGGCATAAAAAAAGATAGGCAAAGTCTGGAATCAAGTTTGTTCTACACAAAACCTAACACTGACCAGACAGGTGTTTCTAATCAGATCTTACCTTCCTTTACCTCCCGTTGAGTAGAAAGCTTTAATTTTTTCCATCCTTCCGATCGGGTTACTTTAAAAAGGTTGCATCTGATAAACTTGACACAGTCTTTGTGTAAATTGACCACAAGATCAGTTACTTCCTGGGAAACAAATTAAACACGATGTTGAAGATGAGAACGGCGAATAAAAACAATTTTAGGAGAAAAAAAGTGGGAAGATAGTGTAGAAGACACCAATATAGTAATAAATAGCTAATTACTTCATTATCGACTGTAAACCAGGTACAACTTCTTCCATACGGTGTAAATTTTTTTCCGAAATTGCTCAGTCACGAGACTTATGAAAATCATTTCAAGTTCAGATAGATCGCGTTCACGAGTTATTCCCATGGCGAATTTAAATTGAGAAAACTATGAACAATTTAGGATTCGAAGACGGATTATTTTAGAAAAATTTCTAGACTACGAAAGATGTAATTCTTGAGCTGGTTCGTCTAATATTAAAACAGCCCATAGATTTATCACAATTAAGGAAATATCAGAGTTTCCCTGAAGGATCTACTTCAGTTTGAACTGGAACTCTAAGAGAACGTCCAAACCTCTGGATAACATTCCTCATCATTCTCCTGCGCCTTCACTTTAAGGATCCTTTGTAGCTTGAGAAGGGCCCTTAGGAGGTCGCAGCAATTTTCAATGGTCAGGTTCTTTTTAATCGCAGATAGAATTTTTTCTAAGACAGGCACTGACCAACCTACCCCCTGAAAGGTTGAGAGAGTCAGTCAGTCAGTCAGTTAGCTAACCTTTAACGGCATCTTTCATCCAGCCCCCAAAACAATCAATCAATCAATCAATCAATCATTAAATCAGTTAATCAGCCAGTCAGTATGGTGTTCAGTCACTTAATCAATCCATGTGTGAGTCAATGATTAACCCTGTCACTTACTAGTGCTTTCAGGTTAAATTTACCTTCAGGATTTCATGAAAGCTCCTTTGATCAATTAAACGAAAAAAGTTTTGAGTAATAAACAACAGACAAGATTCTTGGACAGCAGAAACAGCCAAGTGAATAGGCTCAGTCCACTTGACCAGTGGTGTACATGAAGAAAGTTTGTCACAGTGATTCAAGACTTCTATGGCTGATGCTACGACCTGCAATCAAGACAATGTGTTTTGTTACTCTACCTTTAAATTATTAGGTACTGAAAAAATATGCCAGCCGCTTTTGGCATGTAATATAATAAGCTCAGTTATGCACGCATTCTGATTGGCTCTCACTAATGACCTATTGGAGGACAGACGTATTGATGACGTCATCATTAAAAATTTTTAAAATTCTTTATTATATAAAACAAATAGATTCCGACACACGGCAACTTGGAATCTATTTGTTAATTAGAGAACTGTTACTCCTTCTACTGTTTTTCAGTTTGGTTTTCAGAAGATGAAATGGGTAATGCATACAAAACAAATATTTTGTGTTGGAGAATGGTGACCCAAAGGTTTTTGGTGATGCTGTGATTCAACTCTTTTTGTGATTCAATATGTGTACCACTTGTACGACAAAGCAAATAACAGAGAGCAGTAAAAAAATTAAATTCCAGCCATTTTGAAAATCAGCCCAACATTGAATAATCATGTTCTAATCCTTGCTAACATGTGGAAAAATGCATATCTTACAAAGCTCCTCTGAATTTCAGCCAGAATTTCTTCCTGAAGCAGCTTAGGAAGGGAAGCGAATCCTTTAGTACCCAAAGTGCGATCAAAGTGTTTTGCCATCCATCTGCAAAAAGGACATTTAAATAATCAACAAAGAGCATGCACACATTAAAAAAACATGACAACTTCTTTTAAAATATCCCTTACTTGATGCAAGATTTCTTGAGATCAGTAAGACTAAACAACTCTGATACTTCCAAGCACTCAGGAATACCAGTCAGACATTCTGCACAGGGCTGGAAAAACAACAAAAGTGGCGTCATTCTTTTCTGACTATGTCGCAAAATAAAAAGAACTATTGTCTGATAATCTCACCTTATGAAACATATGACACTTGTCAATTTTCAATGTACAATTAATGATTTCTCTGAGTCCTTCCAGCCCATACATGTCTACAAGAGGAAGTGCATCACTGCCAACGAAACAGAAAACAGCCAGACAAACACACTGGTAAACAACATACTGTATTTTGTTTGCCAAATCAGAAATACCTTGACAATAATTCTCAAGAAAAATGTAACACACAAAATAAAAGAGTGTAGTAACTCAATCTTACACAATTATTTCAATTTTTGATTCCCTACCTCCTTTTTCTTAAAAATACTAGCAAATTCTATAAATATATCAATTGAGATATAAGTGATCCTTGCAGCTATGAACACTACTGAACTAGTAGTTAAAATAAGACTTGAAAAAAATTCAGGCCCATACGAGATTTGAACCCATGACCTTTGCAATACCATATAATTATTCTTAAGGCGTCAGGCATCTAATGCAGACTGTAATCCTTTAAAAGAGTTAAAAAACATTTTATTCACCATATGAGTGCAAAATCACCCTTCACGTGAGCTGTTCCTCCATAAATATACTTCAGGACGGCCATGAAACCATTATAATTCACACTAAAATAAAATAAGTTACACTAATCAGTTGGCTCTAAACAACCACCAAGCATGCACACTATTAGCTCAAAAACTCTTATTAAACAGTCTAAAATTCATGAGTGACTATTCTCATGATGGTTGCTGGAGTCACTCAAAGTGCATCATCCAGGAGCTCAAAAGACCCTGTTTTGGTTATGAACCTAGAGCCTTTCAATATAGGGTCCTGCCCATGAATTGCTGAGCCACTATTAAAAGCTGGTGTCTTATTCAGAAGGAAGAATTTATGCTGGGCAGGGGGAGGGGGAGGGGGAAGGGGGCAGGGAGATGTCATATTTCATTAGAAGTTGTGACTCACCCAATAAGAGGAATCTCTTTAGTTTTCCCTTCAATCCAGTCACCATAAAGCATGGCTGAAAAGTAATTTGAGCGTGCACACAAAATGGCTCTGGCAAAAAATATAGAAAATGTTTTGACTAACAACAAAAATGAAAATAACACTGCCACACCTCCATATTAAGCACTCACTTGTGGGCTTTGATTTTGTCTCCATTGACAATAAAGACAACATCAGATCCAACTTCACTTATTAACAACTGAAGTAATTCTTGACCAAGAGTACAACAGCAACTCTTGAAATCACATAAAGAAAAAACAGAAGAAAACAAAACTTTTCATTTCAGCACTTATTGGTTGACAAATAAATGAACAAAAAAATTACAAGTCCTTCAGAAATGATAACAATGTGTAATTCTCATCTACCTTTAATTCATCTCCTAATGAGTCATCCCCTGGTGGACCAATATCTGATACAAAAATATATATTATTTAGAAACTTGAGTATGGCTGAGTCATTTATTATGGGAATTATACTAGATGGGCACCTCACCTTGTGGATCACTTATAAAATAAATTGTAAACATAACACTAAAATCTATCAGAAAAAAATGTACAGAATGGATTCAGTAAACACTCCAACCATGCAGCCCAAATGACTGGAACCTATACTCCATAGCATCAACTGACTAGGAATACTGCTACTACCACAGCATAGAATGCTAACTCATCATCTGTTACCTTCTAGCATTCTTTAACATGCCCAGAACCCATTTATACCCGAGGGTGGAGAAAGGTACTGTGTGCGCAAAGTATTTTGTCCAAAAATGCAATGCACTGACCCAGGGCAGGTCTTGAACTCTGACCTCTCAAACCAGAGTCTAGTGCTCTAACTGTCAGGCTTCTTCACCTCCCACATCAAAGTGATTTCTCTCAGCCTTTTTGTCTTCATCTGTCACTTAAAACTGTTGCTTTTTGTCTTTCTTTGCCAATCTTCAACTACAGATTTTAATCTTACAAATAGCTTTTGAAGTTGGTGATCATTTCCTTCATTCTTGTGACCTTAATAGTGTTGGAAGAAATTAGATGCTAGTCATACTTAGCGGTTAAATTTAATATCATTGTTGATTCAAATGCATAATTTTAAATTTTAACTTCTAAATTACCTAGTTTTGTTTTGAAACTATTCTCCAAAATTCTACCATCTGTTGAAGTTAATTCATCAGTCAATTCATTTGTTGTCTTGATTTCAGCAACCTGTTTCTTCAAGAGACAGCTTGTATGTGAATCATTTCCAATTCCATCTGCATTGCAGTCTGATTCAACATTTTCCTCATCAATCACATTACCAGGGCCATCAACTAAATCACTAGTATGCTGATTTTCCTCCAAATCATGTTGTTGTTGGTTTACATCTGATAGGTAAGTCTCTTGTATGTTACCAAGGCTAACAGCAAAATGATCACAGAACTCTGGACGAGAATCAAGTCTTTCCTCAAAACTCAATGTATCCTCCATACAACTTGCTTGTGGTAGTTTGGAGTCAGGATGACAATCATTATTTCTAGGTCCACTAGTTTCTTCTCCTTTAGAAGTTCCCTCTACAATGCCATCACCAACAGTTCCTGACCCATTACCATCCATGTCGCAATACGACTGAGTACAAGTAGCATCATTTCCATCAAATTCCTCTGGCTTCGCTTGTAATCCTACAATACCATCTTTCCCTGCCCAAACCTCTGGCTGGATATTGTTTTGAAGATGGTCTATATCATTTTCAAATCTTTTATTGAAACTGTCTTCTTTACATGTACCATCCACAACATGATCAATCCCATCTACTAAGCTTGGTATAGTCTCTTTTTCCCAAGGGAAGCTTGATCCATCGTAGTCTTTAAAATCATCTTCTGTATAAGCAGACCTTGAGAAAAAACAGAAAAAAATACAGTTATAATAAAATGGTGGTGACAGTTTCAACCTTAGTTTAATATAAATAACTTAACTAATAATAGTGAAGCTTGAAAAGTTTTAATCTTGATATTACTTACATTATAAATGACAAGAAGTAAGTTCAATGCTTTACACACTCTGGAAATTTTTGCATAGATCATTACCAAACCTGTAAATATTTTTTTTGTTCTTGAAAGGTAAAATATAGGCTAAAATTTAGGCAAAGACCATCTCTACCTTAGAAATTTCTCAAACTCAATGGCCTCTATTCCATTTATTTGAATGCATGTTTGGACAGAACCTGCGGAGGCATATCTTGGAAGAAAATGTTGACAGAAATTTGGAGCTCTTGCTCTGAGAACAACTGTATGGGCTTGAAATTCAACATTATTTATCATAAATGTGACATCACTGAAGGATGCATCTCCAAACAACCTGAAAGTGAAAACAAACTATATGTAAAAAATAAGAAACTGAATGATATCCAGCTTGTTTTGAATCAGTTTGCTATGTATTCTAACCCAGATTCACTTCATTAACCGTTAACACCCTAACATCCGCATGCAAATTCTCCATACTGTTCTCTGTACATTTCCTATGGTACCGATAGGAAGAATTTGTTCACTAATCAAAAGTCTCTTGAGTTGCCGATCATTCCCTTTATTCTCATGACCTTACTGCTTAATCCAGCACTGATACTTTAAAGAGAAATCAGATGCTAGTCACTCTCAGGATTAATGATTAAAGGGTTACGCAAAAAATCTGTGTTTGATCGAGTGACTGATGCATTTCATAATTGTCGATCCATCCTCTTCGGAAAAAAGAAAGTACAGACAAACCATTTTGCAATTTTTTTCTTTTGATTATGTCTGGATTTTGGACAGATTTCTTCCTAGGTAGATCAACAAATGAAATAGATTTGACGCTTCACAACGACAAACTGTTTTATGCTAAGACCATTAAAACTAATCAGCTCTACAAATGTAAACTTCGATCTTGGACATTTACCTGGATAGATCTGCGATCAGATCTCGCTTGACGGCTTGACGTAGCTTTTCTCTTGCATTTTCTTCTCTTTCCTTAAAAGCCTTGCTCTTCAAAAACGACACAGCGTTCATCGTTTACAGGCAGTCGACATAGCTGATTCAGCAATATGGCGAAGGAAGGCGACGATGTCAATTTGTGCCAGGCGCTACTCCCGCCATAATAACTCGGCTGAGTCCCCCTCTGTCACAAGGACACCTGCTGCCAAAGCGTTTCAAATTACGACATTATTATCGACTTCATGATCATGCTTCTTCCTTATGTGCGTGCAATGCAGCGGCTCTTTTCTATTCGAAAACAGAAGTTGTTTTACCTGATGCGAGGTAAGCATATTACACCCCACAACTTACCTTTTATTCACTGTCTTTTTCAGATTACCACCGGAAAGGTTGTGATTTCGGTATCCTCCGAACGTGATTAAATAACATTACTTCACACGCATAATCTGCCCAAATGCACCAGACATATTGCATATAAACAATGTCACAAGCAAATTTACTTTTAGTCCTAGCTCCGTTTATGAACACAGAATTCTGTGATCTTTAGCTGGGGTTCTACAAATTCATATTATTCTCTCTGATTCACCGGAAGATGGTCATATAAATTGAAGGAACAAATAAGCTTAAAATTTGCGATTGTTTTTACATTTTTTACCATGTGGCATAAAGGAAATATAATAGAAATATTTCTTAGGTGGATTTCGATAAGTTCAGCTTCAAAAACCACAAGAGGAACAAAATAATTATTCATTTGTAGCTATTACGGCAAGAATGTGTTGAGAAACTAAAGTTTTAAACCGAAAGTGAGCTCGTTGTACAACACCACAAAAGTCAGGTGTGTTTTTCTTTCTGTGGTTGGAGTGGGAAATGACAAACTGATGAATGTTTGACAGGTAATTTACTGTTAACATCTGAGTTGAAAACGTAAATTAGCCACCGTTAAGAGTTTAAAGGCTGAAGTTTCGAGCGTTAGCCCTTCGTCAGAGCGATGGCGAAAAAATCATGAAAGATATAAAATATTTTGCGAAAATAGTAGAAACAATAGCGTTAACAACAAAAAATTTGGAAAAATATTGTCAAAACAGCCTCAGTGTTTTGGAAGACGGACTGTACGCTTTTGTAGTGGCTAGTAATCCGTTCATAATGTTCCCACGGACGGCGTGATTCCTACTCAAAAATGCAATGATTGACCAAATGTCAAGTTACAAGGATTCAGATTACTATGTTTTGCTTCTCGTAGTCCACTTGGCACATCGAAAGGCAGGTTTTTATTCTAAAAACTAAACTAAAAACCTTCATTTATTGTTTTTCTTGGATTGTTGGTTGGTTTTTTTTTTCCGAAAAATGTTTCAGCGGGGGATAAAAAGATTATACAAGCTTTATCGGTGACTAGTTTGTAACTTATTTCTTCGGCTTTAGTTAGTCAAAGCAGACTAAGTATACCGAGAAGGATCGAAATAGGGAGATGACAGGAGCACATGGGCCCCTGGAGATGGTAGTTTTTTTTCCAAGTGCCCCCTACCCCCCCATCCCTAAGGATTCCAAGCGTACATTTGCTGCTGTTAAGAATTAAGAATCAGATCTTGGGAGTTAAAATGTTAAGGGTTTTTGGTCGTTAATTATCAGCCTTTCAAGATTTTTCATGAAAGCATCGACCGCTCTGCGAAACACAAGTCATTGTACTATGATCTTTTTTTGTTTTATTTCGGAGCCAGTGGGCTGGACTATCTAATTACCTTTGCTTCAAATATTGAACATAAATGGATAGAAATGACTTAAAATGGATTAAACTACTCCTTGAATTATAAAAATTCCGACAAATTCCACATGATATTTTAATCAGGGGGGCGTATATCCATCGATTAAAAGCTTTGTCATTTCCTTTAATTTCCGTCTCTTGTACTCAAGTGGTGTCAGATTCCATTAAATGGTTTGTGACAGGAAATCGTCTCTTTCACAGTTTCTTAGTTGAAGAATGGTACATTTGTTTAACTGTAGCTGTTTTTTATCCGTTTTGGCCTGTTTCCTGAAGATAGAAATTTCGTTTTAAGATGAATCATAATTCAATCAAAGAAGACTGATAAGAATGCACCTATCCTTGTCTTCTTGCGGTTTTTGATCAAGAACTGTCTAAATTAGATTCCATAGGCTAACAAGGTCCATCACAGAACGCAAAATCAAAACATCATAAAACATACACCTCATGTTACTGGAGCGATGTGTGGCCTGAACTTAGTTGTCTACTTTTCTCTCCTAATTCCCCATTACAAGGATGTAATCTAGGTTTGATAAACAGTTTATAACAACTGTCTTCAGTATTCACCACTCGTTCGGGTTTACAATATTACGAAGGAGGTCCTATTGATTTTCAATGATGCGAAATGGATGTTCCATACTCTTGAGTGGGTATGAAATAACAAACGACTGACAAATAGACTGTGAATGGTTAGTAAGTGGGTGATATGCGCCTAGAGAAAAAAATTAAAAAATGTTATTTTGGAGTCGAAAGTTGCATTTTCAGCGTGAGTGATTGCAGACGCTGCACAAGTTGATTCTATTTTAAAGGCGGTTTTCGATTCGTGATGAGAAATCATAGATTTCATAATAAAGGCTAATTAGTGAGGTTCCTCCCTTTGAAAGGCTCAACTTTGACTCTAATAATCACAAACAGACGTAAACATTTTAAAATGTCTTGACTCTATTAATAAATGTCACGTCACCTTGTAGGGACTGGAGCCGGTGATCCATGACAAACGAATATTGACAGACACGACCTTTTTATGATGACGGTTTGGTTGGTTTGTTGGTAATAGATCGGTTGAGGAGATCCCATCAAAAAATGGAGTGGATTTCTACTCAAAGCTACACTTATTGACGACAGCATGGTTCAGTTATGTCGTAAGACACAGATTACACAGTCGAGAAACGAAAAACTTAGAGGTACGTGTTCTTACTCTTAATGTTATATTTAGGATGATATCATGGGAAGTGACAAGTCGACCATGCATGGCTTACTACACCAAATTATGTGTTGGGGGGTCGCTCTTTCCGCAGGAAAACGGAAGAGGATTATTGTCCTTAAAGTTATGCATATAGTCTATCTTTTGTCTCTGCGGGTTACTTACCTGTCAAAAATTACATTGTTGAGTACCGAGCTCGGCCGAGATGTTTCGTCTTATTGACGCTTACTTTGGGTCACATAGATATTTATTGAAATATTAGGTCAAGTGAGTCACTTTATTTGTTTTAGAAAGTTTTTCGGGACCGTTATTATGTTATGATTAAGCTACTAAATAAAAGCCTGCAATGGGTTGAATTAGAATGACAGTTTGTTTGAGTTTTAACAGTGACTATCAGTTTGATAGGATTTAAGATTTCTCGACTTGCGCGGTTTTTCGTCTCGGACATTGCTCAGACACCGAAGTTCCAGACAATTCTATATTATGTTCTGTCCGTCTCACAGAGACACCAGTTGTTGTGCCAATATTCTGGTCAAGTGTTTAGTTTGAGTGCTTTTGGAGAGTACAATCCTTAAAGGACGGATTGAAAAACCCTGGTTTTAATTTTGTTTCGTGAAACGAAAGGCAGGTACGAGTACTGTCGTAAGTCGACGGTCTGCAGGCTTCAAGCAACTAGATACTTTGAGAATCTCGCGTTAACATTCCCTGAATGATTCACTCAGTTAGTGACGAGCCTTGAGCACTGATTGACCTCTGATACTACCAAAAAAAGTTGTTCCTTCAGGCAATCTACCTTACAGAAGAGAAACATATCGGGTCTGCAAATTGTCCGGAAAATCTTCTTTGGTTTGTGAATTCTCAAGGTCCACAGCAAAATCCTTGGAGAAAGGTACCGGAGCGAGTTGATCTTAGATTTATCGTCCGATTGAAAAGGTAATATTTCCCGTTTTATGTTACTAGGTTTTTAGCCGATGCGCGATCCATACGAAAGTCTTTGTTGACACAAAAGACATTTTGGTAGGTTTGCGGGATAGCTGATAACATTATCAGAATTCGTTTATCATCACTGATAACAATGAAGCTTTTTAGAGGCGCATTTGTTGTCGCTTGAGTTCTAATTTATTCTGGTTTACATGTATCGTTTGGCTTTTTTTTTCTAACATCTTCCTAGATTGATAATCCTCGTTCGCATGAAGGGCACATTTACTGAGTTCCCCTTCTTCGCGATAGTTCTACTAAGAATTCGCACTCAATCGTAAAGTGGAAACAACATTGGCGAATTTTCCTTTCCGTGAATGCAATTTCATTTTTCATTTGTCATCTTATAGGACGCAAGCTGGACCACCAAATAACAAATAATTCATAGTTTTTACAAGTTTTACAAATGGAACTTTTTACTCTTTGGATTGCGGTTTGATTTAAAGTTGAATGTGACCAAATATCCTGATATTTTAAGACACGCACTGGTCGTAGTATTTAAAACTCTCCTCATAAAAAAAATCCACCGTAGTGCGGCAAGTGAAAGATTACTAGGACGTTTTATAGCCATTCAATATATTTTACATCGCACTTTAGGTAATAAAATCCCTTACTCAAGGTTTCCGCATTTAGAGGAGGTGGCAGATTTGACAGGTTTCTGTTTGTTTCCTATCATGGAATGAAAGAGGTTCGCTCTGGTAGTTTTCATGACCTGTTTATTCGTTCATGTACGGCATGAATTTTGTTGTTGTCTAAACACATTGCAGTGTTGACTGACGATCTATTGGTGAACAGTCCAAAACTTTCGCGCGAATTAAAAGTGAAATGTGAAACAACCAATAGCCCGCAGAGAAATTTAGATTTGTACTGTGGTGGGAAATGCTGCGAAATTTTCTTTAACGTTCGTTAAACGACCGAATTTTGTTCAACTTCGTACACTGTATGAGAAAGAGTTGGAGTTTAACTTGAGACTAAAACCCTGGTTACTTTGTGAACAAGAAATGTTAGCGAGGAAACAGTGAATATTGTCCAGGTGCTTCGTTTTAACCTTTCCCAGCGACCTTTCGGAGATAAAAGACAATGCGTGGACTTAGTCCAGAAACGAAAGAATCGGTGGTGTGCGTTGGAAAGTTTAAATCGTATATAATTTTATTCAATACAATTTATCCTCGGCCTTTCTGTACAAAGAAAATAATATTTGCATGACTAATTTTTTTTTCGGAAGTGAAAGTGGTTTAGGACATCTTTGAGTCTTTTGTTTTGTTTGGTGAATCCAATTTTGGTTTCGACACGATATAACGATTCAACTTTCGTTAAGACTCTTATTTTGTAGAGTGATTTGGGTATTCTTTCGCGATAATCATTTCAAGGATTTTTGCGCATTGCTGGCTTGTATTTCCTTAAGGAGAAGTCCTCTTCAATTTTCTCTCATTATTAGTCGATTGTCATTGAAGATCGAAAGCTGCGAAGAATTTTTTAGTAGCTTATAGGGGTAAGTCCTTTCATAAGCTGGATATTTGTTTTCGTGTTGTGTTTCCAGCGTATTTCCTTTCATTGATGTCGTAGCCTCCAATTCTGTGGATCAGTTCGACAACTATTTGTCATGGAACAGCAGAGTAAATTGTCACTGCTCACAGTCCATCATCGATAAAAAGTTGTGTATTAAATTTCGTCCAACGGCAAACACAGACGACAGTTTCATTTTAACAAGTTACGGCGTATTTTGTGTTTTTTCTTTTACGTGCGTGATGTATGCCATGCTACAATCTGGCAGATTATGTGTGTTGTTTTCCTGATCAAATTCCCACCGTGTTAAGCGTTTCCTTTCTGTGATGTTTTCCTAAACGTTTCCATATTTAAAAATGCGTCTTTTGTTGATTCACTGAGAAGTGAGTTTTATTGCATGGACAACGTAAACAAACATGGAGAAGATCTGTTAGATAATCGGCTAAAGCTCGACTGCTTGTAACATAAGTCCAGAGATCCCTCTCGTTCAGTTCCCTCTCTTTACAGTCAAGAGCGTTTCTTTCTCATCTTCTGCTATGGCACCTCGTGTTACCTTTATAGTGCAAAAAGGGTGAGCTCCAACGGCGCTCTAAACGAGGGTTGACTCAAAGGCTTCAGTCTTTTTTTTTTTTTTACTTTCACCTCTAACAGTGTTAATTGTTGATTTGCTGTCTAGTCACGCAAACGGCTTTTGGATAAATTGCTTAGTCTCCGATCTGTAAAAACCGGGAAAGATTATTAAACTACTATTGCTTTTGCATTGTATTTCTTAACCTGGGGAAAAGACAACAAAACGGAGAATGAACAGAGGTCACGGGAACAAACAAAAACCTCCGCGCGTTTTCATAGAATTGTGAAAGTCTCACTGATTTAGTGATAATTTTGAACAGATTTGCATAGATATGTTTTGTAGAAGCAGAGGCTGTTTATGTAATCGATAACACTGCGTGGCGAAAATTCGATGAGTCATTAAGAATGTTATTTCCCCTTGCCTCTCGTTCTTTTCACTGTTCTCTTTTGTAAAAAGGAAAACACTTTACAGCCACTGAAGTAATAAGTTTATCTTGCGGAAATGTCTTAACCAAAGGAACCGCTTCTATTCGCTGATTTTCATATTTGCCCTGTCAGGCTGTGAATATAGCGGTTAGACGATATTATATCGATTGGGCGTGACAATGCTTTTCTTTTATCATCTAATAATTGCTGTGGTATTTCTAAAGAGCGCTTTCTGTTCGCAGAAAACACAGGGTTAAAAGAAAGCCATTTCGATGGAAATAAAATGCCTCTTCTGGTTTTTCCGTTGTTGTTGTCGCACCAGAATACGCATTTAACTTGTAGGATGCGATTTCAGTCATTAAAATCTAGACACAGAGATACCTTGGTACTTAATTTTTGACCTCCACTCACTTAAAAATGACATTTTAAGGACAAAGAAATTTAAGCGACTTAATTCCATTTAGAGCCCGAAACACCAAGTTCAATTTTCGAAACTAAAACCACGTCGGACTTAATCAGCTTATTGCTGACGAACAACGCTGTAAAAACAAAGTTACTACTTTGTCACCGTAAAACGTCGAACAGGAAGCTTACACAGGAGCTGTTTTAATTTTTCTGGAGTAATGACGAGAAGTAAATCATCATGAGAAGTGTGTTTGTAATTCTTGAGGAATATTGCACACTGGCTGCCGAGCTTCATATCTAGCGTGGTGATTTCTCAAGGTAGCTTCTCTCATTTTGTTAGGTTTTTGTGTGGTCTTGTCAAATTTTAAAGGTCGGGTTCTTTGGCTCTTTCGTGTCAAAGGGGTCGTTAGCCTTATAATAACGATAATGATAATATTTGACGAGGGTAACCAACTCACCAGGGCGGTTTTCAGTAGGGCCCTCGACATGGTACGCAGTTGTGTGAACAAGTACGCAAGAAAAGTGCCCATTGAAGTGGTCGTAAATTTCAGGGAATGACCTACGTGTTTGCTCTTTGCATATAAGGGTGATCATGTTGTAAGCTTTTCCTTGTTATGTCTTGTTTTATTTCCATTCTTTGTCTTTGCTTTTATTTACCAAGCTGAAAAAAAAAGAAAGAATCTGAAGCGACTGGAATTATTTTAAATTCATTTTTGCATTTGTAATGCTGAAACCATGTTGTTGTTTATTTGTCAGCGACAAAATCATTGGGCTTTTTTTAATTCCTCGATACAATATTTCTACGTGCTGCCATCAGATTAACGATGTCAAAAATTACACTGTCACTTCCTGAACTTATATATCCATTATGTTATATATCCATTACCGCCATTATATTATCCTCGTAATATCGAAAGTTCCGTTTATGCAGCTGCGATTTGGACATTTTCATTTTTTTTTTTTGCATAATTGTCGCAGTGGAATTTTAAGAAAAGTGGCCGGGAAATCTTTGCGTTCTTTTGCAATCTGGTAATCGAGAAATTTTTAGGGGTCTTAAAAAACTTGAAATTAAACGACCGTCAATATTATACGCGAGTCTGTGAGCAGCTATCGGTCGGGTAATGAGAACTGATGCGTTGTTGGCCTATAGACAGTTTATGTACAACGTTCTTTCTGTTAATGAATTGATATGAAGGCCTTTAATTATGTTCATTGATTACCGTTTGGTCAATTTCATGGTCGCATCGGCGCACAGAGACTCTTATAATTGGCGTGTGCTGGGTATATACTCTAATTGTCACTGTTTTGATCGTGAAAACGGAATGAGATCTGTTTTGTATAGTGTCTATAGTGCTTCCAATACCGGGTACTCATGCATCTCCGAACTTATCATCCGTGATGCAAATCATTGAAGCACGGTAAAATTCCTGAATTTCTTGTTTCCCTAAACCTTTCTGGCACCAAAAACCCACTGAAATAATCGAGAGATTTGAAAACACTTCTACCGCAGAAAAGAACGGCAAACTTTACTTGAGTTCTAATTTCGCTCTTGTCTCTTAAAATTCTGAAAGCAATTTCCTGCATAAAATGTAAAAACCTCCTATTTACAGCAATGGCACAAATTTCCATATTATTGAACATTTCCTCTCATCCTTAACTAGATCTAATATTAACTTATAAAATGATAAATTTATAGCAGGTACGATTATACATGATTGAGAGGCAGATGTGAAATGATCACCTATTCTTGCCGTTTACCTTTCGCGTAGTCTGCGCTCGTGGAGACGAGCGAAGAACCCGGCGAATGAAGGTGGGGTGAGGTGTAGGAAGGACTTGTGTTACCCTGCTTTTTTCTCCCCTTCGTGGAGTTGCTTCGGTCGTCTCCACAAAATTAGTGTGCAGAACGGCTGAGGCTACTGTTGGTGTGTCTCCCATAACCAAATTGCGAAAGCAGTAGTACTGGGTTTTTTTCTCTTACTGCTTTCTGTCATCAAAAATCTCTACGGAGAGAGAATCCAGAAAACCTGCTATATCACCATCAAGTTTAACGACTTCTCGTCACGTTAGTCGTTACAAGTTTAATTCAGTTCAATACATCACAGAAAATTTACGTCAAGTGAAATACAAATTAAAAATTGTGGTTTGGTAGGCGAGACAAACCTGAGAGGGGTAACTTAGAATGATAAGCCACAATATAGAGGAACCAGTAAGAACAAGAGGCCTTTCTTAAGGTGCAGAAATGGTTAAAATGGCTCAGAGCAACATGGGATTGCAAAACAACCCTCAAGAGTTAAGGCTGATTCTTTCGAGATGCACGAGTCTATATAGGTTGGTTGTTGGCTGGAAATTAGGCGCAAATAGCCAGACCGAGGAAGAATGGGAATAGTCTCCATTTTTTGTTGGCGCGGTAGTTCGTGTTTGAATTGATTAAAGAAACGTTCTGTCTGCAATGCTGGTCAAAATAACTCCTCGTAAAGCAGTCTCACATTCAAGTGTTCTCAGTGAGTTTATCATGTGATACCTCTACCGTTAGAACGAAGTATCAAGCGCGATAAAAAATCAAGGAACGCATATTTGCTGTGAAAAACAGGCTTTTGAATTATAAGTTAAAACTAACTCTAGTGAATTGATCTTTCGTCCTCTTCAATTTATACACGAGGCTTTGTTGACAAAACTGAAACAACAATGTTATTTTATTTACTGTAAAAGTAAATTGGATTTAGTCAAATTATATTGTCATGTTATTCCACCATATTATCATGTCCGATATATGAGAAGCCGTTGCCGTGGAAAAATCGTGATGTCTTCCACGTGGCAGAGTGCAGTGTGAGAGCACAGGCCCTCCTTAAATTTCTTTGATCATAAAAAAGATGAATTTCTCCACTGTTCCCGCTGTTAGGCAGACCATAGCGAAGATACTGGAATTTTCAATGACATTCGAGTAACATGAAAAAAAGTCTTTAGGCTATTTCCTTCCCCTCTTTGCAACGACTTATTTTTTTTGTGGGAACGATTTTCCGCTGCATGAAGGAGCATTAAAATTTCTCTCTGCTTGCCTCTTCAAATTTCCCTCATTTTCTAGTAAAAAGAAATCTGAGTTTGTTTTGTTCTCTTTCTTGATATGTTTCGGTAAGTGTTTTTCCTCGTCACAAGCCTAGTCAAGTATATATTTTTTTTTACAAATGTGGCCGTGTTTTTATTAAGAACAATCGTAATGTTTGACCTTCGGTCAATGATATGATTGATGGCAGATTTTAGACATTGATCTCTGTTTATTGTCACCTTGGGGCTGTAAATCTCTTCATGGTATTAGCCGAAGATTAAGTTATTGTTCGAAATTTCGTCTATCGAACCAGGTGGAAAAGCAAACATAGCTACTACAGGAGAAACCTAAACTGCTTTGCCTAAAAGAATGAAAGATTTCATTTCGGTTCTCCCGCTGTTTCACCGGGAGGCCAAGCCGGAATAACTTTGGTAATGTATTCTCGGTAATTTTTGTGCGCGAATTTGCATTCTTAGCGTGTACAGCGCCTCAAAGAACATCGACCAGCTGGGATACAAACAATTGAGACACGCAATTTTACGCTCTGTATCCCGACGTCGCGTTGGAAAGTCGTGTCATAAGTGGTTTGGAAGTAGGCGAATGCTTTGTGGATTGATGTTTAATTGACCCACAAAACTGACAATAAGAGCTCTAAAAGCCAGGTATTGAATTTGCGATTCTGGGTAGATTATGCTTTCTTTGTTAAGGCTACTTTGAGCACTGTGTCGCAAAATATGAGAACTATTAGAATTTTGAAGTGTCCTATAGATTTATAACTTCCTACAAACCTTTTTAGGACTTGAATTAATCTTCACGAATGAGTGAGCAACCGATAATTAACTCATTGAGCTCTGAACACGCCGAGCTGTGCCTGCGAGAAAGAGAATTCTTCACAGCATGTATACATCTTTCACCATAACCTATCAAGCCACGATCTTCGTGGGCTGTAATCAACACTCTTTTTAAGAAAGAATGAAAAATTAGCGGTCTACAGATCAGCGCTGCGGTCGTCGAAATACTTGACTACAGTAACAGCGGAACTATTTCATCGAATATTACGTGCGTGATCTGAAGGGCACACGTCGAGAACTGTTTGTTTTTTTTTCATCCTGTTGCGACGCCTGCCTTTTAAGGTTTGTTTTCATTAGAAACAAACAAGTCCCGCGTCACTAGAGACAGTTGACTGCGCTCTTCATTATATAAAGACGTATCTCCAAGGAAGTGCTTTTACAGACAACGGCCAGTGCTGAAGTTTGAAAATCTTGTGACTTAAAAAAATCAAGGTGGTTTAACAGAATATTGCCATAGGAAACAGCTTGAGGGGAATGGGTTAAACTGTAGTTTCCTTCCGTGTTTCCTGTTACAATTCTTCAAATACCCTTGCCTGCAAAATCTCCTTAGCACTTCTTAATTCGAGGAGATACAGGACAATCTCAAAATAACTGCTGAGTAACGGTGACAAGAACCATCGCTGAGTGTGTGTGAGGTCGTTTTGTGTTCAAAGGTAATATTTTAGTCGTAGAGAGCTTTACGTCCGTTTCCAAAGTGCGAACTGTTTGATCATAACATTTTTGAAAGATAAAGCTATCGTTTCTTATGGCACACAGTTATTTGCGATCCTAATTTTATCGCGAAAATCATGTCATAGCATTACCACATTGTTAAAATCGCCTTCACGTATTAGCATCGAAGCCTGGTATCCCTGGCAAATTTACAATCCCTGCTTGATGACGATTATGATCTTTATTCTGTCACTCTGGTTGAGATTAGTGAAGTAATTGTTTTTATTTGCTTTGTTTATATCCTAACCACAAAACTAAAATTTTTGCCGTGGAGTGAAACAATCTCATTTGATATCATCACGTCGCACACCACGTTTTTAGAGTTGAAGGGTTATCTAAAAGCATGCGCTAAAATCAAACAAAAAAGTTTTCAGGTTTTGTTCTCAATTTGTTCTTCATTTCAGGAGACTATGAAAAGCATTCGTTTTCGTGTGTGATCCTATTTGTAATGAGCTGAACGGAATGTTGTTGAAACTACTCAACTAGATTTGGGGCGCATCGGAAGAGCTTAGAGTGGAGTCAAGACAATGCATCGCCAGCATGTCCGAACTGCGTGAATTAGTTGTGTGTTGCTGAGGATTTAAGAAAGATATTTCAAATAATGCGAAGAGATAAGCCTCTCTCGCAATAATCAAGTTAAGTCTAAAAAATCGAACGGCTTTTTATTCCCCTAAACCTGTCAGGAATAAAAAAAAAAGGTCAAGGACGAAGACAATTAAAACAGTAACTTATTTTAAAATCCATAAACCTTGATAAAGGCCCTTGACTAATTTTACTTCTATTTGCAGAGTCTACGGTGTCATCTGTGTTGCATGCTGCTGGAAGATGAAACGATTACTTCGGCATGCCCAGAGATTGCGAGTATTGTTGCTTCTTGTAGCAGTTTGTTCATTGTTCCTCGTAGCCTCTCAAAAAGACGTCGTTTGGGTAGCAAAGCAAGGTAAGGAATACATGATTATAACGTTATTCGACTATGGAGCTTCAAAACTTCCCATCTCTCCTATTCTGTTTACTGAGGATTCTGCACTCAGTAATCTTTCCACACATTCGAGAACAAAGCAACTTGTAAGAGGGCCAAAATTCTAGGGTTACTTTGTTTTTGCTTTACTTTGCTCTGTGATTGGTAGAGAAAACTCGTGCCATACTCCTAACCAATCTAAAGTAAAAGGAACACCAATCATGACTTGGTCACCCGCATTTTCCCGCGCTTTGGATAGTTTGCTTTTTTTTTTTTTTTTTCAGTTTGAGTTCTTATCGGCTGACATGAGGTAAACATTCGTTCTGATTGGCTGCTTTGATTACTTTGGGTTTTTTGACAGTCGATTGAAAACTAATTTATGACTTTTTTCCAGGAACTCGCTTACCAACCTACATTCCGCCGGACATTGCAGCTAACAGCATTGACTTAGGCGGCGGTGAATCCGTTAGACCACAAAAAAAGGCACCTAAACTCGGTCGAGAGCTGAGCTCATTCGGGAGCGACAAAGACCTCTCAGAGCTACAAAAGAAGCAGAAGGCGCTTCTTTGTGGTTCAGAATGGCAAGAAGAGTATACGCAACTTCACGATGACATTTTAAACAACCGTAAACCACCCAAATATCTTGTTTACTCTTGTGGGGGAAATAAGTACGGTTGTGGCGGGTATGGAAATCGACTGGGAGCCATAACATCCCTGTTTTATGTAGCTGTTATAACGGGGCGTGCGTTCCTAATAGATTGGAACAGCACTGTTCCTATTACGGATTATCTTCAACCCAAGAACATTCAGTGGAATTACCCTACTTCAAAACTTAAACATTTAAAGAGAAGCTATCATTACTGGGGGAAAGGAGAACATGAAAAAGTGATCAAAGAATCACAAAGATCTGCAGAAACATACGATGTCTTCCGCGAATGGATCGAGGGTACGAACCTTAACAAATATTTCGACTCTCCTGTGGAGGTCGTCACAAGCTTATGGTACTTTGCGTCAAGTTTTCGAGAGTATAAGTTTGCTGGACGCATGGCTGACAAACTCGGTGTGAACGCACGAGGCCATCGCTTCTCTCTAGTGGGTTGTGCGTTTGATTTTTTATTCGAAAGGACGCCTAACTTTGAAAAAACTCTGTCCGCTGCTCGTGAATCGCTTCATTTCAAAGCAGACGTGCCTAGAATCGGTATTCACATTCGAATGGGAGACTCATCTTTGTTGTCAAAATCTTGGGATCAAAGAACCACTAACTCTGAGAGCCTTTTCATGTGTGCGAAGATGTTGGAGAGTGAAATCATAAAATCGAACAAAAAAATCCACCGCGAGGATATTAAGTGGTTTTTGGCCACAGACAGCACCGAGGTGAAGAAATACGCGTTGCGGACCTACCCCAACAAAGTTGTTTCTCTCGCGGTGAAAGTAGAGCACATCAATACCCGAAACCCTTCCACGGAGGGGATGACGGGAGTTCTTCTTGACCACACCCTTCTGTCCGAGAGTGACTTTCTTGTGCTGTCAGACAGCAGCTTCAGCAAAACGGCTCTCGGGATGAATTTTCATTCGTTAGTACATAGTACATTCGGTGAAAAGTGTCGGTATAAAACAAGATAGATTTTCATGTGACAAAAAAATTATCAGTCAATCTAATTTTTATCAAAAAATGTCTTCATATTGTATTTTTAAAATAGTTTGATTGTTTCAAAATCTTCTTAAAATTTTACATTTTCGAAGTTTCGCAAGTTAACGAGTTCTTCCGTTTGAAGAAGACTAAAAATATATTTTGAAGTAAGTTATGTCAAGAGCATCTGTCAAAGACAAGTATCATCTCTTTGTTCTCGTCTGCCTTCGTGTTCTCTTCCTCGTTACTCTTTCCGAATGAAAGAAACGTCTTCTTTTGTGTGTATTACGTACATGACCATTTAAACATTGAACGGAGGGGGTAAGTTTCCGCTGCGTCGGTGGAAGAGTATAACAGGGTAATTTAGTATTATCACCTAAGTTGTTAATACTAAATTACATTTAAAAATTGGCCGATGCTGACACATTCCAGCTTTCTCTGACTATTTATTTTAATGAATGAAAGTATTGTATATTTTGAAATTGGAATGAAAAATGTGAAAATATTGTCAGAAAAATAAATAATCAACCGAGTGAATTTCGTTTTTTTGTTTTTTTGTTTTTTTGTTTTTTGTCCCAGTCTCTAACTCTCTTCTCTCTTAAGTCAGGCGACCTGTACTCTTCGTCTTCCTTTTTTTCCTTTTACCTTTTTTTAGCGCCATCTAAAGTTTCATGATTTTTGTGGAATACATCAGCTGTTGTTTTCTGTTTTCGTTTTGCTTTGTTGTCGTTGTTTTGTTTTTTTGGCATCATCTCAAGGTTCGTGTTGTTTGTATGAAAGACAATATATGTTAGTTTCAGCCACCTTCTCTTTAGTCTGTTTTCTTGTTGTTTTCACTCGTGAAATATATAAATGGCATATCCCATGCGCGCAGTCTAATGCTACCAAAATATTAATTTCATACATCTACTCAGTCTCTGAATTCTTGAAACCCTAGTTCCTCTTTATCATTGCAATGTAGTTTTGAAAAATAAACCATAAAGACATTGGTTAATTCCCCGCCCCTTACCAGACCCTCAGTCAGAGGAGAAGAAGGAATTACCAGGTAGGATCACGTAAAGAGAAAAAATAAGGTAACACAAAGCTGTTTCCTCAATAACCACATTCGCCGCCACAGTCCTACGACAGTTATTTCACCCGCTGCCCTGGTCTGAGGGCTTGAAACGGGTTATTCCTAACTGAGCTAATGTACCGGGAGTCCGATTTGTTTATGACGAGTATGATTACAGACAGAATTGGACGACACGAATTCCTGTTACCAATTAATTAAAGTTATGACAAAATTCAAAGAAAAAAATAGACATCGATTATACGTTTTGACAACAACGACAAAAAAAGAAACAGCTAACTTGGCAAAAGGCGCGACGATAGCGCGCGCAAATGACGCGTCCTGTCCACCTACATGCAGACATGACGTGTTAACTGTCACTTCAACTGTCCCATTACACTGTCCTATTACAAGCATGACGCGTACCCTGTCCTTTTAGTGCTCAGATCGGTCTGGTGATGACCAATCACGTTCGAGAATTTTGATTAATGATGCGCTGACACTGTAAATTTGAATGGTAATTCAAAGGGAGTGAAGGAGAGAAATCAGTAACCATAAGAGGGAGGGAGACATAGGATAGCCAGCAATGGATGCAAAGTCATCTGTTTTAGGATTGACATTTCATCTGATCAATTGAGTGCATAGTCTTATGTCCGAAAGTAACTGTTTGTACGGGATGGAACTTCAACTCGGCCGCAGTGATAATTTAAATGCATAATCTTATGTCCGAACGTAACTGTTAGTGCGGGACGGAACTTCAACCCGGCCGCAGTGATCATTTGAGTGAATAATCTTATGTCCGAACGTAACTGTTAGTGCGGGACGGAACTTCAACTCGGCCGTAGTGATCATTTGAGTGCATAATCTTACGTCCGAACGTAACTGTTTGTGCGGGATGGAACTTCAACTCGGCCGCAGTGATCATTTGAGTGCATAATCTTATGTCCGAACGTAACAGCCGCAGTGAGACCAAAAGTACTCTGTGACAAAATAAGGAAATCACATTCAGATAACAACATGGCATTGAAAATACCCTCCACTGGCTCTGAGCGTCGAATGTTCCTTCCTTGGAGTGATGTTATGTGATGCGGGGTTATGTCCAAAGTAACTACATCTGAAGCATAGTTCATGAGTGCGTATTGTTTGACATCTTTATCATCTGTTGCTAGAAACAATTTGATGTCTCTTTGAAAACCTCTTGTCTGCTGCGCCAGAGCGTCTCTAAGATTTTGTGCGCAACAGAAAAAGGCCCTGTAATTAAGGTTGTTGGAGTTTGAACCTATGTGGAGAGCCACATCGCCCATTCTTATATGAAATCCCACTTTTAAAACTTTGTTTGTGAGACCGAGTGAGTGTCTAGCTGTGCTTAGCCTGGTTTCTAGCTTTTCAGACTTGAGAAAAAGGAAATCGAAAGCACACCCTACCAAGGACTTGTTGGTTTTTCTTGGCAATTTACGTTTTTCTCAAGGAAAGGCTTTTCCAACAAGGCGTTTGCAAAATTCCAATTGCTGACAATCTTCTCAACGGGGTGATCGAAATACGATGAGAGGTCTGCCTGCCGCAGCCACGCTTGAAAATCTAGTTTTGTTTTCCACGGCTTCAAAACATCACTTCGAGTCTTCTCGAAATGTTCTTTTTTTCCTAAATAATGTATCCTCGAGTCGAAATGTTTTAAATTCTCCATAGAATAGTTCCACTGAACACCTTTTGGGACAAGGAAACGTTCAAGTGGGGCTCCATGATCCCAGTCTATTAAAAGTGCTCTTTGTGTCAAGATAGAGAGAAATAAAAGTGAAGTAACTCCTCCAAGTCTATTTCCATAACCCCCGCACTCGTATCCTTCTTCTTTGCACGTGAACACGATAAACTTTTGCGGGCGCCGTGCTTGAAGAATGTCCTGGTGAAGTTTTTTATAACTTTTCTGCCAGTTATGACGGCATCTTGCCTCTTTGCGTTGTTCGTATGTTTGCATCTGTCCAAGTGGTAAACTTTCGCCATCTAGACTGTCATTAGCATGAAATGGATACAAAGAACGCCAGATTCCTAAAAGAATACAATGAAATAAGGGTAGAAAATGTCAAGGTATCGGCAGTGATGAGATAAATATTTTGAAACAAGAAATAACATTTTTATGAAATCTTTTGTGGTCCTTTGTATCATTTGAATTCTTTAGCAGTCCAAACTAATCTCTTACCCAGATCCTGCCGTTTAATTGTAATTGACAACCACTTGGCCGCCGAAGGTCTGGGTAAGAGAATTACGCTCTAGAGGAAGAGAATTAGCAACATCATATTCTAATTGGTTACACCTTTCACTTCCTCAGCTGACTGATATAAGCACTAAATTAACGAGTGGTACCTGAAATTGGCGTCCCTCCTGTCTGTTGATGGTCCTCTGTTCCTTCATTTCTTTGGACAAGTAAATAAATGGTGAATATGATCGCGCCAAGAAACAGGATCAGTTTTCTCCGAGTCAAACTTTCATCGCGGAGTATCCTACATCTCGTCAATTTCCTCATCGTGGCTTCAGATCAATTACCTACAGAATTTGAGAAGAAAGATAGTTATACAGGAAAATACTTGAGTAGGGAATTTTAAAAGATACTTTTCATAAAGCCATCACAAATTGAACAAAAGCCAGTCGACAATGGCAGCCAAATATTAGCAGCCGGTATAGTCTAGGAGCGCAAATAAACCATTTTTTGGACAAATCGTGGAAAAAGTTTAAATTGAAGCTGCAGCTCGTTTATATCTAAAAAGCTAAGGTTGCGGTATTTTTCTGACCCAGTTTCTGTAGAGTGAGATAAATCAAAGGGAATAACTCTTGGATTGGCTTGCACTTAGCTTGCTCTGCATCTTCAACTCTCATTTGAAAATCCTTTTAACTTTTCGTCAGTGTATCAACTGAAGTCAAAGTAATATCAAAATCTTTTCTGTTTCTTTTTTTTTCTGTTTGAAATGTTAAAAAAGACAGATTTAATGTAATATGCATATTAAATTTGTTGTGAACACTGAAAATTTTTGTTATTTAACATTTCACGGTGTGGTCCTCAATTCTGTCGTCATTCTTTTCATGAAATTACACTTGACTACTTCCTTTTGTTGTTATTTCTAAAACGTCTAGTGATTTTCCATGGTTTCAGTATCGCTTGATAAAGCATCTTTACTGAAAATATCACCTGGGAAGCGTAAAATGATCTTTTAGGCTTGTCAATGTAAAGCGAGGGGAAATAAGTGAAAGAGAGATGTTTGACTTCAGACAATTGTGAATTTTTTGGCGTCATTACTAGTACTGACTCGGTTGGTGGAGAATTTACTCAAGATTACAATAACCATAAAGTAAAAAACAACGAAAGCCTGTGGAAACTAATTGGGCATAAAATGTTTTTCTTTATCCTAGAATAAGGAAAACTTTTTTCAATCTCGTACAGTGAGATGCGAGGAATTTTGTAGAGCTCTAACGTGAAGGAGAAATGTGAGAACTGGAACGATCTTTATTCTTTTACTATTTTTCATTTTCCATGGTATATATTTTTTGACGAAATGAGTGCAATTATAAGTATGGAAATGTACCGCTAATTGTATGGGATTGTATCATTTAGTTTGAGAGTGAAAATGAACACGACTTGTAGAATTAAAAGATCAGGTAGAGGAGCTTGTTTGATTTAAAGCTGAAAGAATATTTATATAGTTTCAGTTTTCATCTGTTGAAACTAAATTAATATGGTCGTTGTTTGAACACTTTTGAGTCATTAAACCACTGAATTAAGAGGATAGACACTATAACATTTGGCATGGAAGTCGCTTCGGTGAAATCTCTGATGCTGTCGCTGAAAACTTTAATAGAATCATATTCTTTACTCTGGAAAAAATTGCAACATAGCCCTTGAATCCATTTGAACTTGTGTTCCTTGGCAATGTAAGGGTACATTACATACTGTGGCGATAGGTTTTTCGCACTAACTCCTAACTGGACTCTTGCGGGGAGCGCAACAATAACTGGAGCAAAATAGTTCAGTAGAGACCGACTTGCAGCGGGAACAGAAACTCGTCACGGTTTCTTGGTACACGGAGACTGCTGCCAACTTGCCACGGTCGTCAAGGATTAGACAGCGTTTTGGTTTGACCTCTAGTGTACTCAACTTTGCAATCGAAAAAGCTTCATAAATATAACTTAAACTGCGCGACCGCAAAAATGCTTAAAATTATCCAAAAACTCAAAAAATACATAATTTTTCTCTTAAAAGTATGTACGTATCAATTTCGATGAAAAGTTATCTGATTTGAAAGAAAACTTTGAAGCTAACGCAAATTAAAATCCGAGCGGCTAAAATCAAAGTTGTAGGGCCGATTGACGTTGAATATTCAATATTCAAAAAAGTATTGGGTACTTCAGCCGAAGTATTTTCGTTGCAGTTTATGCCGATCAGAACAATTTTCGGATGTATTTCATTTTTTTTTCTACCCAAAATAACCACAAGAGTATACTTTCACAAATGGTTTGAGTTACTGATATAAGTGCCTGAAGAGGTTAGAAAAGGTTTAATGATCTGACAGAGGGAAATGAAATGTCAAGCTGGTTTAAAAAATTGTACTTAACAATTTATTTGCAAACTGCACTTTTTCTTGTACTTTGACTTGTATGAATGTTGCCAAGGACAAAACTTTTGACCTGAATCACGGCATAACATGTGATAATTGTTGTTTTCACTCATGAAATATATAAATGGCATATCCCATGCGCGCAGTCTAATGCTACTCAAATGTTAATTTCATACATCTACTCGGTCTCTGAATTCTTGAAACCCTAGTTCATCTTTATCGGTGTAATGTAGTTTTGAAAAAAAACCATAAAGACATTGTTTAATTCCCCGCCCCTTACCAGACCCTCTGTCAGAGGAGGAGAAGGAATTACCAGGTAGGATCACGTAAAGAGAAAAAATAAGGTAACACAAAGCTGTTCTCTTAATAACCACATTCGCCGCCACAGTCCTGCGACAGTTCTTTCGGCACCCGCTGCCATGGTCTGAGGGCTTGGAACGGGCTATTCCTAACTGAGCTAATGTACCAGGAGTCCGATTTGTTTATGACGAGTATGATTACAGACAGAATTGTACGACACGAAGTCCTGTTACCAATTAATTAAAGTTATGACAAAATTCAAAGGAAAAAATAGACATCGGCTATACGTTTTGATAACAAAAAAGAAAAGAAACATCTAACTTGGCAAAGAGCGCGACAATAGCGCGCGCAAATGACGCGTCCTGTCCACTTACATGCAGACGTGACGTGTTAACTGTCCCTTCAACTGTTCTATTACACTGTACTATTACAACCATGACGCGTACTCTGTCCTTTTAGTGCTCAGATCGGTCTGATGATGACTAATAACGTTCGAGAATTTTGTTATAGTTTTGATTAATGATGCGCTGACACTGTAAATTTGATTTGGTAATTCAAAGGAGATGAAAGAGAGAAATCAGTAACCATGTGAGGGAGACCTAGGATGGCCAGAAATGGATGCAAAGTCATCTGTTTTAGGATTGACATTTAATTTGATCATTTGAGTGCATAATCTTATGTCCGAACGTAACTGTTTGAGCGGGATGGAACTTCAACTCGGCCGCAGTGATCATTTGAATGCATCATCTGATGTCCGAACGTAACTGTTTGTGAGGGATGGAACTTCAACTCGGCCGCATTAAGACCAAAAGTACTCTGTGACAAAATAAGGAAATCACATTCAGATAACAGAAAATGGTCCAACATGACATTGAAAGTATCCTCCACTGACCCTGAGCGTCGATGCTTCCTTCCTCGGAGAGATGTTATGTGATGCGGGATTATATCCAAAGTAACTACATCTGAAGCATAGTTCATGAGTGCGTATCGTTTCACATCTTTATCATCTGTTGCTAGAAACAATTTGATGTCCGTTTGAAAACCTCTTGTTTGCTGTGCTAGGGCGTCTCTAAGATTTTGTGCACAACGGAAAAAGGCCCTGTAATTAAGGTTGTTGGAGTTTGAACCTCTGTGGAGAGCCACATCGCCCATTCTTATATGAAATCCCACTTTTAAAACTTTGTTTGTGAGACCGAGTGAGTGTCGAGCTGCACTTAGCCTGGTTTCTAGCTCTTTAGACTCGAGAAAGAGGAAATCGAAAGCACACCCTACCAAGGAGTTGTTGGTTTTTCTTGGCAATTCATTTAAGTTTTTCTCAAGGAAAGGCTTTTCCAACAAGGCGTTTGCAAAATTCCAATTGCTGACAATCTTCTCAACGGGGTGATCGAAATACGATGAGAGGTCTGCCTGCCGCAGCCACGCTTGGAAATCTAGTTTTGTTTTCCACGGCTTCAAAACATCAGTTCGAGTCTTCTTGAAATGTTCTTTTTTCCCTAAATAATGTATCCTTGAGTCGAAATGTTTTAAATTCTCCATAGAATAGTTCCACTGAACACCTTTTGGGACAAGGAAACGTTCAAGTGGGACTCCATGATCCCAGTCTATTAAAAGTGCTCTTTGTGTCAAGATAGAGAGAAATAAAAGTGAAGTAACTCCTCCAAGTCTATTTCCATAACCCCCGCACTCGTATCCTTCTTCTTTGCACGTGAACACGATAAACTTTTGCGGGCGCCGTGCTTGAAGAATGTCCTGGTGAAGTTTTTTATAACTTTTCTGCCAGTTATGACGGCATCTTGCCTCTTTGCGTTGTTCGTATGTTTGCATCTGTCCAAGTGACAAACTTTCGCCACCTAGACTGTCATTGGCATGAAATGGATACAAAGAACGCCAGATTCCTAAAAGAATACAATGAAATAAGGGTAGAAAATGTCAAGGTATCGGCAGTGATGAGATAAATATTTTGAAACAAGAAATAGCATTTTTTTAAAATCTTAACCACAACGTTAAAGTTGCTCAAAAACCTTTTCAGACTTTGGGTTATGTTTTCGCCAAACCTAAGGATCCTGTCACGAAAGAACAACGAACCGACGCCATTTATTCTATTCCTTGCAGTGACTGTGACAACGAATACATCGGACAGACCAAACGTCAGTTTGGTACACGTTTGAAAGAGCATCAAAAAGCGGTTTTCTTTTGCAAAAAGAAAATTCAGCTTTATCAGAGCACACATGCCTAACCAACCACGCAATTGGGTGGGATAATTCTAAAATTATCACCACTAATCGGCGTTACCACCAGCGCCTTTGTTTGGAGGCTTGGCATATTAACTCCGCCCTCGCTCCTTTAAATCGTGACGATGGCGGCTTACTTCCTGGCGCCTTTTTACACCTCGTCAGAAAAAAAAAGACAGCTAATTAGTGATCATATAAAAGGACCTCTTGTTGCAGCGTTTAGATCACCCCGGAAGAAGGCATTAGACTGGAGTGTCGAAACGTTGGGTCTATGCATTGTAACTTCTTCGGTTACATTCATTAAATCTGCAAACCAGAGTAGCATCAAACTATGTCTGTAGTGGTCCTTTGTATCATTTGAATTCTTTAACAGTCCAAACTAATCTCTTACCCAGATCCTTCTGTTCAATTGTGATTGACAACCACTTGGCCGCCGAAGGTCTGGGTAAGAGAATTACGCTCTAAAGGAAGAGAATTAGCAACGTCATATTCTAATTGGTTACACCTTTCACTTCCTTAGCTGACTGATATAAGCACTAAATTAACGAGTGGTACCTGAAATTGGCGTCCCTCCTGTCTGTTGTTGATGGTCCGCTGTTCCTTCATTTCTTTGGACAAGTAAATAAATGGTGAATATGACCACGCCAAGAAACAGAATCAGTTTTCTCCGAGTCAAATTTTCATGGTGGAGTATCCTAAATCTCCTCCATTTCCTCATCGTGGCTTCAGATCAATTACAATCAATTATCTACAGAATTAGAGAAGAAACATAGTTATACAGGAAAATACTTGAGTAAGGAATTTTTAAAGATTCTTTTCATAAAACCATAACAAACTGAACGAAAGCTAGTTGATAATGACAGTGAAATATTAGCAGCCGGCGGGTATAATCTGGGAGAGCAAACAAGCCATTCTTTGGACAAATCGTGGAAAAGGTTTACATTCAAGCTGCAGCTCGTTTATATCTAAGAAGCTAAGGTTGCGGCATTTTTCTGACCCAGTTTCTATAGAGTGAGATAAATCAAAGCAAATAACTCTTGGACTGGTTTGCACTTAGCTTGCACTGCATCTTCAGCTCTCGTTTGAAAATTGACTTCAGACAATTGTGAGTTTTTTTGGCGTCATTACTAGTACTGACTGAGTCGGTGGAAAATTTACTCAAGATTACAATAACCATAAAGTAAAAACCACGAAAGCCTGTGGAAACTAGCTGGGCATAAACTTTTTTTCTTTATCCTAGAATAAGGAAAACTTTTTACAACCTCGCACAGTGAGATGAGAGGAATTTTGTAGAGCTCTAACGTGAAGGAGAAATGTGAGAACTGGAACGATCTTGAGAATGCAGTTTTTATTCTTTTACTATTTTTCATTTTCCATGGTATATATTTTTTGACGAAATGAGTGCAATTAGAAGTATGGAAATGTACCGCTAATTGTATGGGATTGTATCATTTAGTTTGAGCGTGAAAATGAACATGACTTGTAGCATTTAAAATCAGGTAGTGGAGCTTGTTTGATTTAAAGCTGAAAGAATATTTATATAGTTTCAGTTTTCGTCTGTTGAAACTAAATTGATATGGCCGTTATTTTGAACACTTTTGAGTCAATAAACCACTGAATTAAGAAGATAGCTACCATAACACTTGGCATGGAAGTCGCTTCGGTGAAATCTCTGATGCTGTCGCTGAAAACTTTAATAGAATCATATTCTTTACTCTGAACATAATTACAACATAGCCCTTGAATCCATTTGAACTTGTGTTCCTTGGCAATGTATGGGTAGATTACATACTGTGGCGATAGGTTTTTCGCACTAACTCCTAACTGGACTCTTGCGGGGAACGCAACAATAACGGGGGCAAAATAGCTCGGTAGAGACCGACTTGCAGCAGGAACAGAAACTCGTCACGGTTTCTTGGTACACGGAGACTGCTGCTTCAAGCCAACTTGCCACGGTCGTCAAGGATTAGACAGCGTTTTGGTTTTGACCTCTAGTGTACTCAACTTCGCAATCGGAAAAAGCTTTATAAATACAACTTAAACTGCGCGACCGCAAAAATGCATAAAATTGTCCAAAAACTAAAATACATAAATTTTCTCCTAACAATATGTATGTATCAATGTCGATGAAAAATTATCTGATTTGAAAGAAAACTTTGAAGCTAACGCAAATGAAAATCCGAGCGGCTAAAATCAACATTGACATTGCATATATTTTCGTTGTAGTTTATGCCGATCAAAACAATTTTCGGATGTATCTCATTTTATTTTTCCTACCCAAAATAACCACAAGAGTATACTTTCACCAATGGCTTGATTTACTGATACAAGTGCCTGAAGAGGTTAGAAAAGGTTTAATGATCTTGAAATCAGTAAATTTGAACCATAGAAAACTTTCTGAAAAAGTGAATTTTCGGATTTTCTTTTTGTTGGTTTTCGGGTCATGTTGTGAACGAGACGATGAGCCGCGTTATTTACTAACATAGAATATAAACATACCTTGCTTCGTAATACTTCTATGGCTATATGAAAGTGTACCATGAATCTCCTGTTACCTTGTAAGGTACTTTTAAAATTCAACGCATCGAACGTACTTTCCAATCGGGCGATTGCGCTTGTTTTGGTGAGGAAGTTATCCTGAATTTAAAGACTGCGTGATCGTATAAAAATCAACAAAGCAGATGCGAAGCTTGTTCTCATATATTATTTGAGCCAAATGATTTGAATATATATAGGTAATATATATTTTTGCTATAATCTTTAACATAATTAGATGACAGGAAACTTTTATTTGCAGATTTCAAAGGCCTCCTGAGACTACAAAATCATTTAAAAAGTATTGAAAAATGGTCGACTTAGTTATTTCTGGAAAAATGAAGCTCGTATGAAACTTGATCCAGCTGCCTCATTAAAATACATCTCTGCGGTCCTTTAAGAATATGTAGGATCAAAACCGCTCGGTAGAGGTGATTGGTTACTAACGAAAGCCCATAAATCAAAATGAAAACAGCAGTCTTGTAGTTTATTGGCAGTTTTTGTTTTTGTATTCACACATTATATATGACTGAATAAAAACTTGGGGAGCTTCTGTTGGTGAGTTAGCTTAAGTGATTAGGACTATTGAAGTTGTGTGTGGTCAGGTATAGAAAAACCTTAAAAAAACATATGACAAAGAAATTGTTCCGGTTTCCTTGGCGATGATCCGACACCACCTTTAACGATGGAGTAAAAAATATGTTATACTAGAAAGTGTCAGGATCTTTACCAATGAGAACATTTGAGCAGTCTTAGTCTAAATTTCTGCTGGTTCGAGTTAAGAAAAAGGCGGTGGAAAAAAGATTTTAGCGCGCCGCGTAGGCTTCTGGGAGTAGATGAGGCGTGTATTAGGTAGGGTCCATGAAGGCGGCGCGTTAACATTAATTTTTTTTACTGATGTTTTTATGCTCGCGTGACGGAGTTCTCCGAAAAGTGGGGACTGTTCGTAGTCTACATGGCAACTGATGTACAAGCTGAAGAGCCGTGACGTGTACACGCACCACTCTAAGGTGTGTCATTAGATTTCTCAAGAGACACTGGGACGTACGTGTACGTCGTGGTATTCTTACTGCGGCTGGACTTGACGGGACTGAGTACAGTACAGATGCGTTATTGACCCAGAGGATGATGACTGGATATTGGCGAGTTCGTTTTTTGCAATTTTATTGACGAAAACGAAGTCGAGGTCCATAAAAATGCATAAAAGGAACGAGGCTAATATCTAGCCATTTTGTTTGGTCAATAAAAGGATTTATTATATTGCAAAAAGATTATGTTTCATTAATAATCAAGAATAACTTGTTTATTTCGAGAGCCGGGAAAAAAAGCCAACTGTGAATGTAGCACAACAAACCCACGAGATTCGTTTATAATTTTTTGTTTTGACTGTTTTCTGCCGCTTTTTGCGTCTCCGTCGCCAACATTGTACAAGGATTACAAAGTTAGTACTAATTCAGTTGTTTTCTTGCGCAAGATCAAAGCGGGCAATCCTGTGCGGGCACAATGGGCCCATCTTGCCCGCTCGGGTAGCCAATCAAAACACAGGATTTGCTTCATATTGCCCACGCGCGCTGCTATGTTTGTGTATTCGTCTGTGTAATGAAAAAAAATTCATAGTTTACTATAAAGACGTGATCTCGATACTCTGAGACTGTAAAACTGAAGAAGGAAATATTCGATAAGTTTTATTAGTATCTTCCCACGCTTCTCGAGTTTTTTTCCCATAATTTTACAAAAGAGATAATAAAATTATGCAAAATATCTGGGTCTAGTGTCATGGAATTGGCGATGGATGGGAAAATCAGAAAACAAGCTTTCAAAAACGAAATCTTCTCCTAATTGTGCAAAACCCTTGCTTCTAGGTATGCCTTATCCCTGATGCTCAAGATCATGTATTGAATTATTACGGCATTGTGGTATTTTCCGATCAAACGGCTTTCATATTTTCAATGCGCACGTCCAGCGGACCTACCTTCGCAAACTTTCATTCGCTCTGACGAAGGGCTAGCGCTCGAAACGTCAGCTTTGAAACTATTTGCGGTCGCAAATTTACGTTATCAAGTCAGTTGATAATACCAAATTATCTTGTTAAACTCCTCCACCGACGCGGCACCACGTACTCTTTCCTTAGAGCGAACCAGTTAGTCTGATTAGTTCCCAGTACCTACACGTAAAAAGAACGCCTTGTCGTTTAAATCTTAATGGCGCACGAGATCATTCAGCCAACATTTTCACCACGAAAATATTGTCAAGTTTGACCCAAAAAATCTGGTAAATAGTGAAAGAAAGACTCGGAATGGTAAGTTGATGAATTAATTATAATCTTGAAGCAAGAAAGTTTTTTTCTTTATCGCAGGAAATAGTCGATCGTAATGGCGTGCAAACTTAAGAGTTCCAAAATTTTATTAATTTATGGTTTCCATTCCTCGATCTTTCTAGGGAGATATATTATTTCCTTTTTTTTTTTACCATCAGACATTTTTCCTGCAGAATTTTAATTTCCTTTAATGTATCAAGCTTTCGAACATCAAATATAGAAACGGTGTCATGCGATACGAGATATATTTACGTCTGTCGATCAAATTAATGGCACCGCGATTTTTGCCTTCAGGAGGTTTCTGTAGTTTTCGTTTTCTCGTTGATTCTTTTCTTCCATACCGATAAAAACTTTTTTTACCCATTCCACACTAACGAATTTAAAATGATCTGCTGCTTGGAGTTATATATGCCGAGGTTCAAACTTTTTCTTATTTAATTAAATATTTTTTAGACCAGTTTTGATTTTAATTTTCCCATGTTTCAGAGTATGACAATGAACTCATGACAGAGGGAAATGAAATGTCAAGCTGGTTTAAAAAATTGTACCAAAAAATTTATATGCAAACTGCAATTTTTCATGTACTTTGATTTGTATGAAGGTTTCCAAGACCAAACTTTTGACCTGAATCACCATAACATGGGATAATTTGATATTTTGAATTTTATCATTATTATCAATTTTGATAAAACCTTAGCTGCCTGGAGGCAATCACCTCAACCACTACCTCAAAATCTTCATTTACAGCCTGTGTAAAGATCCCTTTTTCACAATGATGCATTTTTGGCATAAACATAAATGCTTTTGAATCCACTCTATTTAAGCAAAAAGGTGTAAAACAAAATTGGTCTATATCCAGTCATTTTGACTTGATATTGAGTAAATCTGAAATGCCTCACAAGCTAAAAAACAGGATCAGATCATGTGTTGGCACTAGCTGTACTAGAAGGCGACATTGACCTATCTTGCTTGCTGAAGCTATCCCATTTTGTTGCCATGCTATATGTCCTGATAAAGAAGAGTGGAGCAATTCTGGTATATTATGTAACTTGGTGGCATTCATTCCTTTCATCTTATTATTTTGGAGGTTAAGGTTCATTATGAGAGTATTAGTATGATCATCTTACCAACACTTATTTACTATTAGCTTTTGCCCCAAGAATGGTAAATAATTAACTTGATGGCTGTAAAAAAATGAGCTTGTATTCCTACAACCTTTCAGCACAATCCATTTTATGTTTGGCCAAACAAATCAAGTTGCTTGTCATTTTTGTTTAATCAGTTTCTCATATCTCAAGATTTTATGACAGATAGTAAAACATTGGTTTACCCAATGCTTTTACGAGTTTGAATATAGAAATGTGTGGTCTTAGGTTTTACCAACTTTAAATAATTTATGGGTGACATATCATAAATTATTTTCTCTTTAAAAGAAGATGTTCCAGTCATTTTGAAAATTTCAACAATAAAATTAGAACTCATGGTTTTATCCACAACAGGTTTTTAGTTTTGAATTTCAGAGTACGTGGACAAAAACAGTTATTTTGCAAACTATTCATAAAATCTGAGTTGGGAATAGATAAAATTGTTTGCAAATTTTTGGGCACGAATCTAACTCTAAAGGAGATAATATTCTCAAATGAACTCTATCTGTCTTAGAAATACCTTTTTAATTTGTAAAATTCTGAAATATCTAAAGTATGTAATGTTGCAAATATATATAATATGCAATGAGAGGTGCTACTAACTGGTTGAAAAATCAGAGAGAATTATACGTACCTCCTGAAGTCTGAAGTCTCTGATGACCAATACTACATGATTCCATACTTCTCACTCCCAGAGAGTATGTTTCAGTTTGAAACTTTTCCAAGATATCTTTGGATTTATAACCATGGTCGTCATCCTTGTAAACTGGATGTGAATGATGATTAAGTTTATGAATTAATTATGGACTAATTTGTTTATAAGTGGAACTACCAGTTATGGCTTTTAGCAATCAGTGCATTTGTTTTCTAGAGTAGTCCAGACTTTTCTATATGTAATGTTCAGCTTCAGTTTCTTTCTGTAGGTTATTATTTGAATAGTGTCTATGAAGATATCTGGGATTCTGAAACAATACATTAACATTACTATTACTATTGCTGGATTATGATAAAATGTGACCTTCCAAATCTCAAAAAAAAAAAAATGACATTTAGCAAGACAAAGAACTATATCCTCGCAAAACATTTCTAGAAAGTGTTATCGATGTGCATGAATATTGGGCCTGGAAATCTGATCCCATTCTATAGGCATAATATGATGTTGCTTTTTGTGTTGCAGGCATTGTTTGGGGTTCAGTTTGTGTTGAGTGTTGTTATGGCAACCTTGTTGCAGAAGTTTTCTCCATTTATTTCCCTTGGACGTTGGATTCTTTGCAATAATCAGTAAGCCATGCAAATTGTTTATAGCACTGACTCTTTTAAAAATCCAGAAATTCATACAGGGTAGGTCCACAGGTAAATTTACTGTCGAAAGCTATAAAATATGTGCCCTTTCTGACATCCAATAAACAGTTGAGTGTATTTATTTGAGTTATTGTGTTTGCTGTCCTTCTACATCTATGCTATTAAGATGACAGTGCAATTTTATTCACTCAAAATATAAGACAGTGCACTCAGGGTTCATACAGGTCCTGGAAAATCTGAAAAGTCCTGTAATTTTTGAAATTTTCCACAACTTTCCAGTTCTGGAAAAAGAATACAGGTCCTGGAAAGTCTTTGAAATCTGTTTAACGTAAGCAATAGAGTTTTTAGAATTTATGTTGAAGAAATGTATGTAGACTGTAAGTAGAATTGATTTTGAAATCTTGGGAATGAAAGGGTTTATGGTGGAATTTGGTGTCATGGAAAATTAGTCCAAGTCCTGGAAAAGTCCCTGAAAAAGAATACAAACCCTGTCTACTGAATAAGCCAAAAGTAAATTACACCTGTAGAATGTGTCTGTACTTCTAAGACTAAAATTTCCTCTTCAGAATTGTTTTTATTGAGATTAATCTCAATCATTACTAACACTCTTGAATATTTCTTCAAATAAAAGTTGTATTTTAAGAAACCATTGGTATACAATGCAACAATCAACAAAGAACTGTGCCTGGGTTCTCACCCATCAGGAGGTAATTTCCTAATTGTGATATTATCTTCTCACCATCTTCACCGATAGCCTTGTTCGATATCTCCATCCAACTGATGATGAACTTAAGGGATTGATTGGAAAAAACTCTGTTGCTACAGGCAAGAATAAAGGAAAAAAAGCCGCACCGACAGATACAAGGTATGTGAAGTTGTTCATAACAGCTATTACAATGTAAACTTAACTTCCCCATCCATAAGTCCTTTACGCCGCAATATCTGTATGTATATTCTCTATAGTGTTCTCCATGCAAGAGCTGACAAGGAAATTTGATAATTTTATTTATTTTTGTAATCTTGATGTGGGTTTTAAGGGTGATATTGTGAGGAGAAACTTGATGCTAGTCATGTTTAGGGGTTAAAATATTAATTTATTTTCAAAAGTTTAAATGCAGAACTTGTTAAATAAGAATAAGATTCATATGGGTAGAATTTTGCACGGCAGTATATGAGCAATTCATGTGGAATTTCTGGGTGTGACAAATAACCAATTGGACCTTGAAATTCATTTGAACACCCACTGAGAGTGATCAAGATCAATTCTACAATTCTCCTTTCATTTTGTATTCTTTCACATGGACAGGTTTTGAGAATTAAGAAAATTAACATCAAAGGGATATTATTTTGATACAACACCATACTTAATGATCTAGTAACAACTGAAATAGCGAGGTATGAAATGTATGAGCCCTGGTTGACAGGATGAGCTTTACATTTTAGGCCCTAGAGGGAAAATGATTTTAAATTCAATGAAATCTTCATCAAAAGCTTAATAAGTTTTGCTCATTACTGATATAATCACTGTCAATATGTTTTTGTCTTTTCTGGACGTTCGGCATGACTTTACGTATGCTGTATTTTTTTTCTTCTACGTATTCCATGTGGTGTAGAAAAAGGCAGAATAATGCAGCGGCTGTTGGGAGTAACAACGACGAGGTCAAGACTTTTACAGTCCCGTGCAACATTGATGTCCATCTAGACAAGGCTACGGTACGTTTAAAACTAATTCTCTGTTCTTAAAGCCACGGCTAAAATGAACGAGAAGACTGCTGTGAGATTTCACTGTCACTCGGGACAACTTTGGTACAGTACCATGCCGCTTACATGCCTGCTACAACTCAGAATATACAAGTAAATAAATAAATACTAGCAGGCTTTGAGCAAAACTATGTGAGTTGCTAGGGGTTTGGGGAGGGGTGGGGGGATTACACCATGGACTACCATTCGCCCTACCGGTTCAAAACTAATACTCGCCTCATGCTCTAACTGACATGCTCTTCTCTTTGTACATGGCATTTAGAAGGAGAGGCAAGGAACATCTTTGATAAAGAAAAATTTTTGATTCATTCTTTTTTACATTTTGTTTGCAGATTGAAGAGATTGACTTGTTGCCTCAGTTTCTTTACACAGACTACAAATGGATGGTCGATTTCTCCTTCTGTGCGGCTGTGATAAACGTCCTTGTTGAAATCTTTGCTTTCTTTCTTCCTGAAATCTATACTCAGGAACTTAATTTGGCGCTTGTATGGAACTGTCTCGTCATCTTTTTTGCTCTGTATCCTTTGTGTTAAGATTGTGTTTAATTGAAAGTCGTTAGTTCAACAGCCACTGTTACTTTGTCAACGTTTCAAACCAGAATGTGTTTTTCGAGTCCCAGTGTTTTTCTAGGTTAAGCTTTTCTTTTTAAGTTTTTTTTGATAGAGAAGGTTTGAACATAGACAGACAAGTTGACAAAAAATGTTACTATTGATACTGAGCCGTCTGGAATTGGCTTTAACAACATTACGAGTGATTGGAGAATCAAAAGCATAAATGAGGATTTTCAGGCTTGGTTTACAGTACAATAATACAATACAATACAATACAATACAATTTAATTTACGTCGGTAACGTAGGGGGTGGTTACCCAATCCCCCGAGCCTAAGGGCTCATGTTGAGTCCGCAAACTGCTTGTAAAGAATGTGTGAGGGTGCTGGCGAGAAAATTGCCAAATGAAACAAGTTACCAGAAAAAACGCGACCGTTATCCATCCTTTAGATCTCACTGTAACACCGTAATCCTTTGTCCCCTACAAGTGATCAGCATTTTCAAAATTTCTCCTCGCATTATTATCCTTGAATCAAACATTAAGGCTGTGAGAATTAAGGGAATGGTCACCATTTATAGAAGCTCTTGATTGTTAATCAAATTCTCCTTGTCAGCACCTTAAGAAATGTGTAGATAACTGTATGGAGAATGTACATACTGATGTTAGAGTGTGAAGGGTTAAACGGTTCATGTTTCTTAACTGAAATTCAGTAAGGTGTTGTTTTCCTTGGCCGCAGCTTATTGGAGGGGGGATGACACAGGCGAGCGATCCATGTGCCTCACTTTCGGTTTGTTCTTTTTTGTGGTTGCTATGGCTGTTCTTGTGATCGACGAGTCTCTTCTGGACTTCGGACTTGACAAAGGTTAGTTAGTCTGCAAGAAGGTTTTCATAAGCCCGGCAAAATGAGTAGCAAAGTCTCGCCAGCTTTGCCGCGCGAGCTACAGCGCTAACGCAATAAAAAACTGTGGAAACTGTAGAAACCAGTAAAGGTACTAATGAGAAACAACCGTTCGTGTAGCTGACGGTACGTTGGGCAAAATACAGTAATTTAATTGGAGAGAGTAAGATTTCAGTTCATTATACTACAGGTTACGAGACGTTTTCAGAAAAAGCGACCGAGTTTATGGAGAAACAAGGGCTGTCTTCCAGGTAGGTTGTTAATGTTACAGTTACTAAAAGTTGTTGCCCAGCTAAAGTTTTGTATCTTTTAATTCCATTCCATTTGCCAAAGCCTTTACACTTAAATTTGTGTACCCTTCAAATTATGGGTGGTCGAGAACACCCGAATTTTCTTCCAACGCCAGCATTTATTGTCCTTTTCTATAAGTACAAAGATATTTACCATTTGGGTGTTTGAGAACTTTATCGAGGATGCTTCTTCTGAACTGCAGCTAAGGGAGCTTAGCTCCTTGATACTTGTGCAATAACTTCCGATCGACTAGTGTGTCATCCAGGTCAATAGCTATACTTGTGGCCATCTTCATAAAAACCGCGGTAGTGCGAATCAATCTTCCATGCAAACTTACGAAGGCAGTATGTTTATTTTTATGCTACCAGAGGTCCCGCCCCTAAGTGGATGTTTAAACTGTTCCTGGCTGTAGCCTCAGCCATCCTTGGTGCATTTCTTAGTTTTCCTGGCATGCGTTTGGCCAATATGTATCTGGATTCACTGTTCTACTGCAGGGAGACACGTATTATGTTGTAAGTCAACCTGTTATTCATTACACGTTTAGTGCTTAAGACGAAACAAATCGAAACCAGCAGCAGGAGCAATCTTCTCGACCTTTCGATCGAAGAAAATGCGTCTAACCGTGTTTTGTTAGTTTAAGTTGTTTGCTAATACTTGTAAAATCACTTTGTTGTACGCGCATTGCGACCCAGCCATGGCCCAGCTTCCGAAGTAGTTCTCCGTGGCTCATTGCCAAAGCATCAGACGGCGAAATGCAAAGGTTTGGATTCGAATTCACGCTCGTGACACGACTAGTAATTGTCCTTTTTATGGCGACGTCGTTTAACACCGCCGGAACTTTTTAAATTGAATTTTTCGTAGGGTTCTTCTCCATGTCAACTTCCTGGCTCCTATGTTCCTCATTTTCCTTTGGGTGACGCCCATCTTGCAAGGACCTTTGGTAACAGGCTCGTGGCATGACGACATCGACGACAAGAATGCTAAACCAGTGTAAGTGAAGTGTTAATAATTCCTCTCCATGTTCACTTGAAAAGAACATGGCTGCGGTGATGAAGGTATTATCCGAGGTTGATACTGATAAACAATTACTCTTTTATCCATATTGAGACAATCCTCGAATAGGTTAGAGAGTTTATTGTCAGGGTTCTTTCCCTCAACATTTGCTTCATTTTGTATACTCTTAGGTTTGAGTTTTATTAGCAATTTTAAGACTGTGGTGATTGGGACTAATCCTGAAAAATTGATCAGTGCGTAATATTTGGCTAGAATTGTTAACAGTCGAGTTTCCAGAAGAATAGTCTCTTTCGCAGCCTTTCTTCGGGATGTCACGCAACGTGCTTCTTCCTTATCTAAGTCCTTTCGAACGGGGACTCAGAAATTTTCCTCTGTCCCACGCTCGTGACAAGACGAAAAGAAGATCCGTCTTTGCTCTCATGAAATGTTGGAAAAGATAGTAGGGAGTTTAAGCGTGACGTCAATGGCAACAATAGCCGGCTCTACTTTTAATTTTGTTTTCTATGATTCTTAAATCGACCCTGTATAAATTTCCAGAAAGAAAACACTTCCCTGTGTACGGTGCGTCATACTTAAGCTCTGTAATGACTAATTAAGTTGCCGTCTGGTCTCAAAATTTCCCGATCAGGTCTCACTAACTCACGCTGATTTTTGTATCTTTATCTGAATTATTTCATTTCAGATTGACAGAAAAGGGTTACTACAACCTTCGTTACATCCTGCTGTTGCTGTTCTGCGTCTTGCGGTTGAGTTTGGTTTGGCGACATCTCCAGTCCTATCTTGATATGGCACACGAAAGGATTGAAAAGATGAAGAAAGAAACTGGACGGATCACTAACGTGGAGCTGCAGCGAAAGGTAACAGAATCTTCAACCCTTTCATTCCCAAGATCTCATTAGTAAGTCTCCTTACTGTCTGCAATGCAATTCTTATCATGTCAGTTCGGAGAATTTGTATTTGGTCAACTAATAATCCCATAATTGATATTTTTCTTCACTCTCATCACTTGTCTGGTTGATACTTTATTGATATTGTAAGAAAGTATTCTTTCTTGGTCATTCACGCGAGCGATAAGGTTCTTTTGGGTTTGGAAAGAGTCTTTTGTCGGTGACAGTGACTGAGGTTTCGATAACCAGGGCAGAAGGTATTGTTGGAATCAGTTGAAAAGTTAAATTCGATCAAATTTTACAACTCTGCCTCCTAGAAATTGGTTGTTCAGTCTTGCACCTGAAGTTGTTGGTTCTGGTTGTGTTCTTGAGTAGTGATTAGTCAATTTTTTTTCGTTTAGGTTAGATCTTTCAGTTTGATTCTTTGTTTATTTTGCTGCAGTGAATATTTCTTTATTAGAATATTGTAAAATTTTGTCTTTTCTTTTTCACAGGTTGCGCGCGTGTTCTACTATCTGTCTGCCGCTGCCCTTCAATATCTGGCGCCGACTCTTCTTCTTCTCTTTTCCGTTCTTATGTTACGAACTCTCGGTGAGTTGAAGGTTGAAGAAAACAGATTGCATATGAGTAACATTGAAAAGCAGAGGCGTGCTTTTTTTATTTCGCCCATTTCACCCTAACATCAGAAGTGATATTCTCCATACTGGTCTCTCTTCAAATCCTGTTGTAGGGACAAGGAGAATTTGTTTGACTATCATAAGGTTCATAGCCGGATTGGTGATCATTTCCTTTTTTCTCATGACCTTTACATTTGATTCAAGGTTGACACCGCTGTACGGAGAAATTAGATGACAGTCACACTTAGAGGTTAAAGAGTTAACGTAAGACGACTTAGGCTCATAAACAATTTATCCTGGGTTATCTCCTTGCAGGTTGTTCTGACTGGAACAGTAATCCTGTGGGTGCCTCCCGAATTCAGTATTCATCTTTTATATCAAACAGTACCAGAGAAGCAGCGCTAAATCTGCGGGCAGTCCTTACACCTGCTCTGTTCCAGGGGATCATGTCGTACATGGTTTGGTGGTTGTGCACCTCATGGCTCATTACTACAGTTTTCGGAGTTGTCTATCTAAAGATTTTTGAGGCAAGTTGATCAAGGTCTTCCGTGATCACGAAAAATGGCGGAAATTCTCAGAGAGTGAGCTGCATCATGGAGAAATGGGACGAGAACGAGGCTGAGGTTGACATGTTATGGAAATGACAAGTTTTCCCTATTTGGTGCCGTGTACGGAGTCACTTCCGCAGATCACGAGAGAATAGGGCAACTTATTATAATTAATAAACCTTTACGTTCCTCTTCTGTTTCTGAGGACTCGTGGAAACTTTCCCATGTCCTGTCATTCTTGACATAAGAAATGAATCAGTTGATCAGAGTTTGGTTGTTTGTTTGGAGTGCTCAGACAAACTTATATGTGTAGATGCGTGCAAATTGCGTTTTTTTTTTCTAGCTGATTTGGAATGGACTTTTTTGTGGGTAATGAACGCCGGTGGACTCGCAATTTTAACGGAAAAGTAACGCCACAAATGCTCCAAACCAAAGTTTCTCCTTTTTTTGCGCCTGTCGGCCCAGTGAGATGTACTCCTGATTGAAAAGTATAATGCTTATAAATGTGTTGCCGAGAGAAGTAAACATGTCAGTAAATTGAGCAGACACATCTGGTACTTTCATTTCCTTGTACTCCTACTATTCTCCTTCCTCCCTATTACAAAAACAAAGCTAACTGATAGCTGAGGCTCTCTACGAAGCCAAACTTTCGACGTGGGATACTGGGATCTTTCTAATTCAAGTGGAAAAGCGTTTTGTCCCTTCAAACGCTGCTGTTTGGTTCAAGTGTTGAACGTTTGAAGTCCACAACCTAAATTGAATTGCAGTAGTTATCTGTTCTGTAAATCGATTATTTCGCGTCAAATGTAGCCTTCTGTCCATCACGGTCATGTCGCCAAAACGCAAAGTCCAACGCAAAACAGAAAAGTGGATAAGGTAACGAGAAGGTTTCCATTGGAAAGAACTGCATATAACTAGTTGCGCGCGCTACTGGTACTCATTGTTCACGCAAGAGGCGCGTCCTACCCAAAATTCTTGCATCGAAATGTAAAGATTTGGAAAAAGGCTAGTTTAAGAAAGTGAGCCTGGTAAAGAAATTGAGGACAACTAATGACTCGCCAAACAACGAGCAGCCAATTTCTCCAACGACCGAAATGTCAAAAAATGACAGGCCGCAAAGGTCAGGAGTTTCTCCCAGCCGATTTAGCTGCTGCATATGCGAGTTATCATGATAATTTGACAGAGCAAAGAAAGCTGGAATGGAAGTTACAAGTAATTGATATTGAGACAAAATTTATGAAGCGTGACTACCGAATGCAAAAAGGAATACTTGAAAGAGAGCTAAAGAAAAACGAGAACGATTTCTGGAAGTGTCATCGGGTATTCTCCGCTGTAAGCTTATTAACTGACTCTGATTCCTATAAGAAGGACTTGTACATCGGACCCAAGCCAACTAAAGCAAAACTTCCTCGTAAAACTCTTAAGAGATTAAGTCACCTGGTGCGGAGCTTACAAGCCGAGGAAGAAATGGAAATTCATTCAAGATTTGAGCGGTGTGCTCGATATGCACGAAGAGAAGAGCTTCTTGGTCCAGTCCCAAGTTTGACCTTGAGTGACGAGGTAAGCTCTGATTCATTGCAGCTGCGAGATCTGGTGGAGATCCGCAGCGAACATTCAGCAAACAGCCGGAATAACTCGGGAAGAATAAATAAAATTCGCTCAGCACCATCAAGAGTTGAGTCTAGAAAAGCAGTAGGGGAAGAATTCGGTCGTGAAAGTCCACTGAGCAATATTTCATTGAAAAGCTCATTGACAGAGAAACCAGTTGAGACCTTTAAATCCGTCACAAAACTTGATGACATTAGCAGTATAACCCAATGTGAATATAGAGTGGAACCATCTATAAGGCTTGCTTGGGTGGAGAAAGAACAAGTACAGGAGATGCAGAAAGAAGTGATCAACAGTACGTCTAATGAAGGAGTAGCTGTACAACCATGTGTCCATTTCGATGATTCGGGGGAAAATTCTAGGGGGAAACCACATACTTTGCAAAGTAGCATTGAACAGTCCGCTGACTTTAATTTGCCTGTTCATGTGACCTCATCTCACCATCGAATATCAGCTGAGAGCTTAGGAAAGGATCTACCGGAATCGAATCTCGAAGAATTTCAGCCAAAGGAAGCCGAGTTTGAAAAAGATAATGTTTGGGACGCTGAATTTTTTCTGAATGATCAAACTCACCAAGTGACCTCTCCAGCGGAAGAAGGTCGGAAGGTAATTTCGTTTGATACCATGAGTACAAAAGGTGAAGGTGAATCCGCATCCACTGTAGGAACATCGTTGATCAAAATCGCCCAAGAATACTGCAAGGAGCTTCCAACACCTACTTCAAATGACTTATCTAAAAATAAATTGTCTCTGAAACCGGCGCCAGTTAAGAAACACGCGTCGAAACGAGGCAATGAATCTCAATCTAGTAATTATAAACGCGAACAGTTTCAGCGTGGAGATGTTAAAATTCCAGATCGGGCCCCATCTGTACGTAATAAGAACGTTTTGAAAACAAAGGTTTTCGAGTATTGCGCTCTCGATAAAGCAAAGAGTAAAAGTAACGTTAAAATGACAAAAGCTTTGCCGAAAAGTAGCTTACAAGGGCTGTCAAGCCATCCGAAAACACTCACACCTAGAACTCAGAGAAAACCAACAGAAAAGAGCCCGCCTGCAACGAATGAAACACCAAAGGGAAGGCAGGTGCAAAACAACCCAAACAGAAGAAGTGCTACAGGCAGAAAGTCACCAGAAAATTTCACAGAAATTAACAAAAAAATTGGGGAAGACGAGACACACTTAATCAAACACGCCCAGAAAAAAAAGAAGTGTCTCATATTCAAACGCAAGTGTCTGTCTGAACTTCTGTACAGTGGACAAATTCAGGTCGAGAGCCAACTAAGGAATAGAGTCCAAGGCTTCCTCAGTAATAAGGACGGAGTGGATGACTCTAGCGGAGGGACTGGAAAAGAGACACTCATGCATGTCGACATTGATGCTGTATGAGTTCGAACCAGAATTTAATATAGCGATTAATGACGCGCGGAATCTTACATGTCTGTAAAACGTTTATACGTAATAGAGTAACAGCTTTATAATACCCAGTGTTCGTTAAACGGATCAACAAAGTGATTGAATAAGGTAATTTGCGGCCTCTCGTAGCCAAAGTCGTTTTAGCAAAGATCCCTAAATCTCATGCATCATCCCACACCATGTCTACATGTTTGGTACAATGTATAAAACTCATTTCAATAAAAGTAATTCGCCGATGCACTCTTTCTTTTCTTACCGAAGAGAGTTTTTTATACTTCTGGGTAAGAAAACCCCTTTATTTTGGCATAACTTAGTGTATGTCACCCAACAGGGTGGAGATTTTTGGGTCACGCGTCTTAAATGAGTATACATCTATACTTTTTAGCTTCCCGAGTTCTAAAGTTGTGAAAAATGGAAAAAGCCGATATGGAGAAACGAATAGTGCTCATGATTCCAAAATACTTGCTTTAAAACTAGTCAAGTTGTTTTGGATTGATTCGCAAAATTTCATTTATTTCTCAATCAACGGTCACATTTTAAAAGAAGTGTGACTTAACGTGACAGTTACCGTGACATCGAGAACTTTAAAAAGACCAATGAGAGTTGTCGATCAGTCGCACGAAAAAAATTGGCAACAAATCCCAGAGGGACTTGCAGGGAATTCAAGATGGCTGACTTACAGGAGTGGTAGTGTTTTCCAAATTTATCGATATATTTTGCACAAAAGATGGGTGAAGGGATTGCTGATTGCTTACCACTGGCACTACGATCTGTTGGGGATGCCATTAAGCTTGACTCAGACAACAGGATTAAGGTTTGAGTTTTAACCAAGCTCGCGAAAGAAATTCAAAATCACTTACCCGGATCAAAACACTTTTGAATAGCCCCCAGTTTGGAGTACTGAGATGCAGGTTAAATTTGATTCAGCTCTGCCTTTTTCTAACAGATATCTACGCAAATGCTCGGTATTTTTTTGAGCGTTGTTTTTGTTATACCCGGAAGGTCATCATCGATATTACCACGGTCTTTCGACGGTGACGTCATTGCAAACAAGGGATAACAATACGGTGGCAATAAAGTCATATCGAGCTTCTCTGGGATGAGCAGAGTGATTTGGAATACAGAGGGATGAGGGAAATCCCAGGGTATATTTATTAAAAGCCGTTAACATTTGGAAGGCCTGTTAAAAAATCAGGACCCCATTTGGTGGGTTGGTTTTTGTCAGCACCCTGTAACTGTCCACATTTCATTAGCTTCTCCAAAAAATAAAAATATATATATTTATTCCAAACCTCTTCTATCAAAAACCAGTCATCGTTGGGCAGGGGTTATAGTGCAGATTTAAAAAAAAAATATAACAATATTGGAAAGGCTAACCGAAATTCTACTCCAATTGGGACCTGTGATAACTCCCTAAGAATGGGAATGTAATCCAAAGTTTGTATTTACCCTTTAAAATCCCAAGATCTCATTAGTAACTCTCCTTACTGTCTACCAAATGATTCTCATTATGTAAGTTTGGAGAATTTGGTATTGGATCAATTAGTAATCCCATAATTGATATTTTTCTTTATTCCCATCACTTGTCTGCATGATATTGTATAGATATAGTAAGGAGAAATTCTGTCTTGGTCACGCATGGGAGTTAAAGGGTTAAGATATCCAAGATGCAAGATCACAAAACTTAATAAATTACTTTTGGTTAATTTATGCATTTGTCACATGTTACAGTCATCCACATAAATCCTTTAACATCAAAGGCATGAGGATTTTGTTGGCAGATGTATATTCAGTACTTCTGACATGATTTTATACTGCATTCATTTTTAAACCAGGAGGCATACTGTCAGTATCTTAGTTGCATCATCTATATATCACAAGTTCTTAAGGATGATGCTTGGGACAAAGGTATATCCTAAGTCTCTATTTTACTTAACATCTAAGTGATAAGTTAAAGAAAAGATCTGCACTCTACTCTCACTGTCACAATTTTCTAAATAAAATCAATTCTGGAGAAAAAGAAGTTAAAGTTAATTTCTGTACTTGCCATAAAGATAATAGTGTTTTCCATTAAGGATTTTCAATGACCGTTTATGGGTCTGGAGGAAGTTCAATGACTGTTTATAAGTCTGGAGGGAGTGGAGAGTAATCAATGAATATTAATTTTGGCTGTAATGACTGTTAACAGATCTTTGCATGTTGAGGTCATTAATGCTCTAGAAATCTTGAAAAGTTTTCTTCCAGTTTATTCACCCAAAGAAAAAAACTACACTTTAGGATTAAGGTTACAGAGTGGAGAAGGAGAGGCAAAATTTGCCACCAGCTAGGAAAAGATAAGTTAACAAAATATTCTACCACCAATTGAAAAACATATTGACTTTAAGATTTTATTTTAATATTTACATCCATTGTGCCTCTGAATTACTGTAGACCTCCAATTGGTGTACAACAGGGACTCAGCCAAGTTATTCCATATGCTTCAGCAATGTCAGGAGAGAGCTCTGACAATAATATCTTCTTTAGGTAAGATTACAATATTGTAAGCAATTTTGAAGACTCAGTGCAAAAGAACCAAGTATAGTTTTGATATGGTACAATTGTGGCTTCTTAGATGTCTTGAAATAAAGATGAATATTTTTTGAAAATAATTCTGAAAATAAATTTCATCACTCATCAACATGTCCTTGATGCTTGTCATTCCTTCAGCAAATAACACTTCAACAAGTCAAACACCCCCTACTAATCAAATACCTCAGCATCTTCACCCTTCATCTGAAGGTGTGCCACATCGCTATTCTGACAGTCAAGTTCCAATTCCTGGCCAATCACCACAGCATCAACTGGCACCACAAGATGCGACTATTCGTAAGCTGTCTGACACAAATTCTCCAGCAGCAACTTTGGCAAAACCCACAGCTGATGGACACCTTTATCTACCATCACCCCCTGGATCTCCATTGCCTCGTCATCGTCGGTGGGTACTCAATATTTGAAACTGATTTTCAGTCTTAATTCCAGAAACATTTTCTAGAGAACTGTGGTTTTAATTGTTATTAGTTTCAAGTTAAGTACAAAAGAAATAATTTTCATCGATTCTCCAAACACTTAGCCAAGTGATCATGACAAATAATTTAGTTGGTCCGTTCAACCTTCGGACCAAATAAAAGATGAAACTGGTCTGAGTAGAAGTAGTGGAAAGTTGTAACAATTTTGTCTTCACTCCAGATTTTTCTTGTGGTTCAGCAATTGAAAATTGCTGGCTTTTATTTTGTGGCAAAAAGAATAGGGAGAGTGACATCAGTCTATTGTTTGATAAATGATAACCATATCAACCTCCATTTTAGTAAATTGGGCCACTCAATATTATGTACGAAAGTCAGAAGGCTTTATAGAAACAGTTGCCGTTCACTACAATTGTATACTGTACATGTTTGATTTATGATTCTCTTATCCCTAGAACTGGTAGCAATGATCCTTTGGAGAAAGCTTACACAGAAAATAAACAGTTAATACAAGCATACAGGACAAGAATGCAAAATGCAAACAAGGGGGGAACAAACAAGGATATGATTTCCCGCGTATGATAACTCCAATAATTATTATGTCATAAATCCCATTCTAAAATGGTTACAATTTATCATTTTCCTACATTTCTATTTAAATGTTCTCCTGGCCTTGATCCCATCTGCTAAATTCAAAACATTCCCTCACAAGAAAGGAAAATCCAAATGATAAGATAAACCACTACCATATTCCCCTCAGCTTTCACTGGAAAAATTTACAAGTTGACTTTTACATGGAGGATTCACTCAACTATGGGGGAGCTCAAGAAAGAGATATTTGCTTTGTTTCTGTGATACTCTGAGAAGAATCAGAATAGTTGGTAGATATAACATATATTATCATTTATTTGAGACCTTAATGATATACTTAGCAAGTCAGTAAAGCATTCTGGGCTCCCAAAGTGGTGTTAACCCTTGGACTCCTAAGAGTCAATATCACCCCCTGAATCACACATTGTGGTCATGAGAATAAAGGAAATGATCACCAACTATATACTGAAGCTCTTGATTGTTAAACAAATTCTCCTCATTACCTCAGGAGTTGTGTACAGAACAGTATGAAGAATATGCATACTGATGTTGGGGTGTAAAGGATGAATGTTATGTTATCATGTGGCACTCTGATTGAAAATTTATTGTTGGGATGATGTGACCCTCTACTGAAGTGTGAATATTCTTGAATGCAAATCATCCAGGCTTTCAAATACCTATATTAGTATTTTTGAAATCTATATTATTTTCTCTCTGAAGTTTGGTATTCAAGCTTCAGCAGGTACTCCTTGATAGCATGCAAAATAATATTTTTAGTAATTGTTTGATACTGGATTCTAGACCACAATTCTACGAAGTATACAGGGGTAATGAGACTGCAGTTCTCATGTACTTTTTTACTGTTTTGCAGAATCTCAGTTTAATGCGAAGGATGTCAGAAAACCTTGCCATTGCAAAGGCCAGAGAGCAAGCTGTATCCTTTGTCCATTTTTAATTTTATCTGTACTTTTTGTGGCAAAATCAAAGTCATTTATTGATAGCACATAATGAAATATGCACTTTACCATTGATAATGCTGTAATTTTAATGTAACATATAACTTTAACTTCAAGATAAGACAAAGCAAAAATTGTTGGAGCGACAACGAAGATTGCAAGAGGAAACAAACAGGTGAGAAAGTGATGAACAGGTACCCTTTCGTACGAGTGATTATCATCTAATTTCTCCCAACAATATGCCCACTGAATCAAACATTTAGGTCATGAGAATAAAAAAAATTATTGCCAGCTTCAGTGGTTCTTGATCGTTAAACATTTTCTCCTAATCATATCATATAAAACTCACAGAGAACAGTGTGGAGAATGTGCAAACTGACCTTCGGTTGCAAAGGGTTAATGCCTTCTTCAGTAACAGCCTGATTGTGTTCGTCATGTAATTAAGTCATTGATGTGTTACAGACGTTTTGGCCCTGCAGTGTATTCTACCAAGGAACAGCAAGAACAGCGTATTATTTACACAAAGATTTTGGAGTTTGAACAAGAGACCGTAAGTTGGAAAGCATGTATCACCATATTTGAATGCATGGATGGAAGTGTACTTCATTTATATTAAATACTCCAAAAATTTACATCTCGTTTACTGAATATTGTATATAAAGTGACACCTTTTCCGGTGCGCTTATTTATCATTGCAATGTGTGAAGTAGGTTTTCCACTAAGACTTGCAGCATAACTGAAAAAGCCTCTCAAGAGAATTCAAGATGCAACTGGTTATTTTATGTTTCAGTTTTTTTTCGCCTGTATCTTCGATTTCACGTGTCTTAATATGTAGAGATAAGTAGCTATTGTATATTTCATCATTTTGAAGGTGTGGCCGAACCTCTTACGGAATAAATTGAAACTTTCGCCAGAAGATTCCAAGTTGATCAAGGAAATAATAGCTAAGATTTTCAGGTGAGACTTAAAACTCTTTAGTTTATTATACATATTGTCAAGTTAATTAAGCATTAAACCGCACTTTCCATTGGTTTACCGGAGTAATAACTAGGCGGGACGTTGGGAGAACACGAGTTTGTAAATCACGAGCCAGAGGCGAGTGATTTGCAAAGTCTTTGAACTGATGATAGGTTTTGACCAATCAGGGCGTACGCATTATCTTAGTTATCACAAGACTCAGAAAACTAAGGGCATCTGGTCATCTCTTCAACACGGTATATTTTATCCACAAAAAACCTGGTTAAGAAATAAAAATTGGCTTACACTTGCTGTACAATAAGTTCTGCAATATGACATTGAAACTAGCTTATTTTTTCCATCATACAGCTCATCGGATCATCCTCTTACCCAGTTTCTCCTCCAGTATCAGTATTACGTTTACCGGAAACTGGCACCTCTTGTGAAGGATGTGGGATTTCCTGATGTAAAAAGCGGAAGAATAGCTACCAGCGAAGGAACTGGTACAGTTATAAAGGAATCTCACTCTGACGAGCACGTAAAGAAATCGACAATCATCGATGATGAACAAAACCGAGGGAAAAACCTTAACACGCTAACTAATGCTGGAGGTAATTTTGAAGGTCACTTTTCATCTGAGACTAATATTGAGGAAAGTTTGAAAGGTACGAAAGAAATTGTGAAAGGCACCGCTGAGGAAAAGGAACATGAAACAGTCGAAATTCATGATGCAGCGTTCGTAAAGAATACTAGAGATGGTGGTAGTGTAGAAAAAGGAAAGGACGGTGATAGCGAATGCGCGAGCTCTGGAACTGATTTAGCGAAACTCAAAAATCTTCTTGGAGATGATCTTCAGTCGGAAGTCTCTGACACTGATACTTCGCAGCCTACTGCTGTTGCGACATCAGGTGATGCGGCATCACTGGAGACTTATTTTGAGGAGCTAGAGGACGATATGTTTGGCTGGGATAGCAACGAAGATGAAAGTACAGACACGTACTTTGAAACTGTTGATGGAAGGAACACACAGACAACGGCAGATGAAAAGACTTGCAGTGAACTTAAAGAAAATACGAGTCAAAATGGGGAAGAGGATGCATCCCATACTGTCGCGAGATCTGTTACGGAACACAGTCAGGCAGACTCTTCAGAAGTCTGCGCAGATACTCCTTCACAACTCAGCGTGGACTCGCTCAGCGTTGAGTTGTCAATAGCAAGTAAAATCGGTAAAACCAGCCAAGACCAACCAAGAGACGATACAAATCCGTTTGAAGCAGATGAGTTTATTTCAAACCAAAAAGTTGGGGGTAATGAAGAAGAGACAGCAAGAAACAACACCAACGGGGAAAGTCAACAACCGCACAATAGTCTGAAGCCGCCAGGACAGGTTGGTGAGGAACAGATTGCTAGTAATAACACCCAAGGGGACGGAGATATCCAACAATCAGTGGAAAGTTTAAACGAAGGAGAACAGGTTGGTGAAGAACAGATAGCTATTATTGACATCCACAATGATGGAGAAATCCCGAGACCAGTAGAGAAGTCAAATAAGTATGATACTACAAGTGAAGTCCCATTTGATCAGGCAAACGGTGGAGATGAGGGGAACACACAAACACCTCGGCTGTCTGGGTTTGTTAGTGAACGAAGTGGCAAGGAGGAAAATGGTAGCACAACTCCTACTACAACTGCATCTGACGAAAGGAGGAAACAATTGAAGGACGTTTTGGTGGATGTGAGATTTTTTCTTGGTATGTTTGTGCAGCAAACACTCATTTAATCATAACCAAAAGCCATGTATGATTTAGACCTTACTCAAATACATGTGGTTGGTTATAAAAATGCGTAATCATCATGCAATTGTTCGTCCCCTAGCTATACCACAAGCGAGAAGCCAGAAAACTGTTCATATACAGTGCTCTTGACCATACAATTTAAAAGAAACTGTCTTTTTCGTTTACTCTTATCGATGTATTGCATCGTTTACATGTTTATTTTAAGGTCCCTTTGTAATTCAAGGTGTAAAAGGTAAAGGTAAATTATTAATATTAATCGTAAAAAGATCCAACTCTTGTCATGTTATGTTATCTTCCAGAAAATCTTCAGAAATTATTAATCCTTGCCTATGAACAACTGGATACACCAGCCAGCCGAGATCTTTGTTACTCCTATTTGGAATTCCCTTTCTTTAAACCTTTGTGGCCTATGTTGTTGGCTGTGCTCAGGTAAGAAGAACTATGCAACGTGGACGTTACCACCGCACTTAGTCTGGTGTTCTGTCCACAATGGAAATCAAAAGCAAAAAATGAATTTACGTGAAGTTTACTATTTGTTTTGTGGAATGTCTCAAGGCGTAGTTTGCTCTCCAGATCTTTGTTGTTTTATTTATCATGTGTTCTGCGCCTCCTTTTTTTTTTAATACTTCCATACTTTTTTCATCCAACAGACAAATTAATCACGAGAAGGAACTCACACTGGCGGACGTGATGTCGGAGAACATCACGAAGGATCCGGTAGATTTAGGCGTGCCACAAAGACTGTGTTTGGAGGATCAGGTACTGTATATCTGTGAATGGATTTCGTAAATTTCTGCCAAAACTATATTTTAAGAAGATGATGAGAGGGGCTAACCAGATTTTAATAGAATGTGACTAATTACTGGAGTAGACATATCAGTAAACAAAGTTGTCGACTTGGTCATCAGTAAAGTGAGGAATATAAAACGACAACATGCAGTGCTTTGCGTGAGAGGGATGGCGCAGTGACCGAGTGAGCTCTCTTCCCACCGCTGTGGCCAGGATTCGATTTCCGCACCTAACATGTAATTTAAGTATGTTGTTGGTCTGAGGATTTTTATCCGGGTATTCCTTGCTCGCTTTCCACCAAAAGTTACGCTTCAAATTCAAAAATAGACCTGGAAAACAGTAACAAAGAGCCAACACTTGAATGGCCTCAGCTAAATTCCTATATATTATTTGTTTATTCATTTGAAGAAGACTTTCTAGCACTTTAAGCTAGTGTTATGAAAACACAAGGCATAGTTTGTTTTGGGTAGAAGTATTGTTATGATATTTAAACTTGTACGTCTTTTAGGCCGTTTTGGGCGCAACAGGAAACAAGTATCCATATCAGATGGCGGTAGATGAACTTCATAAAGTTGCTTCGCTGTATTGTCCGTTGGAGAAACTAGAGTGCTTAGGTATTCAAAAGGCGCATATTTTTTGTTTCTTTTTTTAGCTGGTAGTATTTAAATTGCTTTTTCTGGTTTTAATGGATTGTGTTTTATTCTCTCTTGAATTTTTCGTTAGAGATAATGGAACTCTTATTTATCTGTCCACAGTTCGAACGTCGCGCTGCGTCTGTCAGTGTGTTGAGGATTACTGGGAGACGAAAGGAAAGTCGCGTCACTGCCCAGAGACAGCCATGTATGTAATCTCTGTCTCCCTTGCTTCAATCTCAGTTTACTTAGACGCATGACTGAAGAAAATATTATTTCCTATAAAGCGCTTCTCTTCTCCGCCTAGCGCTCAACACTTCAGAAATAGAAAAAAGTTATTTCAGTTAGATTTGCGGGCGACACTAGGACGAAACCCATTGGCCTGTCGGGTTATTCTTTGCGAAAAAAAAATTCTTACGGTAAGTTTAGCTGAGTGAACTTACGTCTTAGTTCCCTCTGCGAAAAAAATAATTCCTCGCAGGAAGTCTTGCTAAGCCAACATATTAAATCCAAATGACTTATGACGTATGGAAATTCTATTTTATCCACAGTGGATGTGATGATTTGTTGCCCATTCTTAGTTTTGTCATTATTCGAAGCGGAATGGCGCAGCTGATCTCTGAGTGTGATGCTATGGAGGAATTTATACCCGAGGGGTGAGTACGAGGGACCTTCAACTACCTCAGGGCTAATGAATTAACGGGGGAAGTTTCTGAAGAAACTGTGATGCTGTGTCAGTGGGAGAGTATGACAGTAATTTGGTGTTATCAACTGAGTTGTAAACGTAAATTGTCCGCCGTAAAGGGTTTAAAGGCTGACGTTTCGAGCGTTGGCCCTTCGTCAGAGCGACTGGAGGAATTGTGGGTTGTGTGTGGATTTATATGCATAACATGGAGCTACGCTATTGGTGGGAATATGGTGACGAAAAACAAGAATACATTAGTTGAATGAAAAGCGCTCGTTGATACCGTGGGGATTAATTACCTCAGGGCTAGCCGATAGACTATAAGCAGTCCCCCCTTTTCGGCAAAGTCCGTCGTGCAAGTAAAAAAAGAAAATCAGTATAAAAGAAATTGCCATCCTTGTGTGCCGTGTGGAACTCTGGGAGGAAGGCGTACGCATGAAAATCACTCAGCTGTGCAGGGTCTAACTCTCTGACAAAGTCTGTAGTTGCCACTTTCCTCAGGCCTCGCTCTTAGAGCTCTTCTTGGCGCGCGAACATCAATTTTTTTTCACTTTTTTTTTTTTTTTAACTCACGCGAGGGACTTTACCGAAGAGTTTACTGGGAGAGTTCTGCCCTAGGAAGAAGGTACTAATTCACATCTACATCCAAGGGATGAAAGCGATAAAAATTTGAATTTGAACCTTTTATGTTTAACCATTTTACCGATGTGGTTCTTGTTCAGGTATCTGATGGGAGAAGAAGGGTACTGCCTCACGACTCTTTTAACAGCCCTTGCGTATCTGGCCAGCCTGAAGCCAACTTGAAATGACCGGCCTAATCACCAAGCAAGGAGAATATGAGAGAGCGGGGATATATGACATCATAAGGTTCAAGATAAAGGTTGGAGCTGCAAGCAATAACGGGCCAAAAAATCAGTTAAAATTTGACAGCGAGCCACCACACCGATCTTTTACTTCAAGTTCATGTGCTCCATTTATTTTCGCTTTGATCGAAACTCACTAAGTTTTTGGCAACAATTACCCTTGACTTAGAACTAAGATGACCAGGCAAAATTGTCGAAGAACTGATGTTAGACTTAATATATGACTGTTACAAAAATAAGAATAAGGGGCATTTTTCCACAATCTGTTAAAATGATTAATAATGACGTTTCAAAGTTAAATGTAAGGAAAGTGAAATTTACTTTTCCCAATGAAGATGCGAATAGTTTTGTATGTAATTGAGAAAGTGGAAACAGCAATGAATTAAACGTCAACCACAAGTTTTTTTTTTGTATTCTGTGGCCCACAAATAGAAAGAACCTCCAATCATGCAAATCTTGTTCGTTTGGCTAGGAAACACCATTGTTCTCTTCACTGATGACGTTAGGAAAACGTTCGCGTCATTTCAAAGGATTTAACTAAGAACTAATTTGTTAATCCTTTTAAGTCCCAGAAGTTATCAACATTCCAATATGTTACCTTGCAAGTAGATCATGGGGGCCTATCAGTTAGAGAGCATAATCTTAATACAACTCCAAATTCTCTTTGCTACTTTGTAAGGAATTGTTTGGCAGTTAGTAGGGAGAGTTATCGATTGGATCGTGAGAATTTAAGGGTTTAGTAAAGTTTGCTGGGCACCGCGACCCCGTCGCCTGCTCGTCGTGTCGATTACTATTTGGTTGACAGGATGAAATAAGGTAGTGTTTTCTCTCTAACAAAAAAAAAGCAACAACATAGAAATTAATTCGTGATATCCTGTTAATTAAATAAGATTTTGAATTAGCGAGGAACAATTTGCATAATTGAATTATACAAGTGCAAAACTTGACTTGTGAGGTGTTCAAGAACAAACCACACCTGCTGACGTAAAGGAGACAAAACATAAAAATAGCTTTAGACAACAAAGCCATCGAGTTAGTTTTACCTTGTTCAGTTTTACTACGGAGATTGCATCCCCAACAGCTAAATTCTAGATACTGCATGAAAAACCAGGGTTTTTGAATTGAAATAGAATCCAACATCTTCGTTTTAGAAATAACTTTTCTCGTTGCGGCGTACTACACTTTTGCACCATTTGTTAACAACTTATCTATCTAGTCAATTAAGTCAAAAAAGGGCTTTTTCCTATAAAAACAAGGCGGTCGCACAATGGCAATGAAAATATATTTTAAATCGCCTAAAGTAGTTGAGGGAATTTTAATCCAAATTACATACAGACGTAAGAGAAAAAAAAACTGCTCACAAGCTTACGTGTAATTGAAGGCGAGATCAGAAAATTACAAAATTCTTAAAAAAAAGAATGCTTACGGTGGCATTTCATTGTTGCTACATCCATTAAGAAGCTTCTGTCTATTATTTTCTTTGTTCGATGACTTTAAGTTGGATTGTCCCCTGAATAAAAACCTTGGTGAGTACCCAAAAGCAAAGCTCGTTTTTAAGTTTTAATCAATAATTTTTCTGCTTAACAGCTACAATTCAACAGTAACTCCCTGAGATGTTCTTCCCATATCAGCAGAAACAAAATGTATTTCATTATCTGGTTTTAGATAACAAGAAGGCCGTTTACAGCTTCACCGAGCGAGTCGTCTGGACGTTAAAGCTAATCTGACGGATCGAAAAAAAAATACGAGATGTATGTGTGACCAGAATGGATAGAAGCAAAATCCTATGTTATTTTTTTTGGTTGTTGTTGTTGAAATCTGATATCGCCAATTGCTAGTTACAAGAAATCTATATTTTGAAAAGAAATTAAGTTGGGGAATATAAAACTATGGAAGCACTGAATAAAATTGGTAAATAAGCTTGAAAGAATGTATAGAGGGAAAAAATTAATTGGAATGATACTGAGCAAATTAAATGATATATTTAGCTGGGAGGCTGCCGGAAATATTTCCATGATTATAAACATAGCTATAAAAAATAATTATAATTCTTTGCGGCGGTAAGATAAGATTCTTATGCGCTCATTGATCCCTAGTGTACCAGACTCGCCACCTTCTGCTTTAATTTGATTAGTGAAACTTCTTTGCCAATGTTAAAAAATAAGTGCTCTCTTCAGACAGAGTCTGACAAGTAGTCGTTTTAAGCGTTCTTTTCTCGCCAGGTGACGGCTTTAGTCCGTCTGTACGATTCAGTAAGATGTTATCATGATTGCTGCTTGGCTATTAGGGAGAAAAGAATACCATTTTGTACAATTGAGTCGCTACAGTATGAATTCAGATCTTGATCAGAGGAATAGGCTGTGATATAAAACTAGAAATTGCCATGAACATGAAGACGAAAGTAGTCGATGCAAATTCGATGAAGATTAATGGGAAAATGATAATTGGATCGAGAGTAAAGTGCATCGTCATTAGGGGATTTTTCTTTGCGGTGAACTTTGATCAATTTGCGGTTGGTTTCATCGCAAGTTGCGTGATTTATTTAAGGGCTTTCATCAGCCAGTCCGTTTTGAATTGCACCCAAGGCACTTGGAAATTACGCTTGCACAGCCCAACGGTGTACACAAGCAATGCAAATTTTAGTGATAGCCACGCTTGTTCTTCTTCTCATTCACAGCTTGTTTCATTTTCCACAGATGTAAACAAGAAGCAACTTTCAATGAATATCAAAGTTCTAACTTTCAATTCGTTTTAAGAGAGACTGATTTCACGGTGAAATCTCCAGCAGGGCCGGAAACTCACACATTTACAATAAGAGGTTTAGGAATAATTTTACTAATGAAAAGCACTTTTCGCCGCATTCCACTTTAAGTACAGGCTTGTAGCTCTCTCAGACGTCGATATTCCACAATCCATACAAGTTTTGTCGTAAAAGGGAAGAGAAGTGTTTTTTTCTTTTTTCTCAAACAGAGTCAGGGTCTCAAGGCCTTGGCGGCACAATCCTCATTGTTCCCCAGGTTGTCCTTCTTCTCTTCCACGAATATTAGAATAAGCGAAGCAAAAACGAGTACTTTTGATATTCTTCCAAATTATTCATCTGAATGCTGTGCCAAGTATTTGTACCGAAGGAAAACCACCTTATACAGAACACTTTTTCTTGATAAAAACGAAAAAACAAAAAAACAAATTAAGAACAGGAAAAGCAACCTTGACCCTGCTTTCCTGTAACTTTATTCACGGCGGACCCAAGTGAAGTTCACGATGAAAGATATGTATTATGATAGATGCCACACCGAACTTTGACGAACGTCCACAGTTCAGAATGGTTTTGCTAGAGCGGAACGTGGAAAAATTGAAGAGGATCTGAGTTGTTTCTTTTGACAAATGGAGGGAAAAAAAAGGATAATTTACTCAAAGATTGATAACTGGCCGAGAGAAATTGCTTTTATACTGTGACTGTCCGTAAATGCTTTGTGGAAGTATCCGTCAACAATGAATAGTCCGTTGAATCAGCATTTGTCCTTTTCAGGACTACACCAAGTCACTCATATTCTTGTTAAATCCAGCTGATCCTGTTTTTTCTTCTTTGGTTTCTCGGCCGGCAGAAAATATGGACTCATAGCTTTTTCCGATCGCAGCACGAGTAAACAAGCTCAAGTATCTTTATCCTCCTTCAAACAATGAAGACAACAAAGGTGCAATTTTTTTAAGGATTTAATTCAAACTCTTCAAGAATAAACATACGTGCGCAGTAAAACTTTTCAGTCACGAGGAAAAGACTTGTCAAAACCGAAAACTACACTGAGGGCGTGCGGGAATCCATAAAATGAGTGATAACTTTGTTTGATTAGGTTTTGGTTGTTGGAAGGGTAATTTTATGCTGTAGTTCTGATAAGCCTCTTTTCTTCTATGGTTAAAACGTATAAAAAAAAGGACTAAAATAGGAAAATGAAAATGATTGATCACCAAGCTTGACAATGTATTGGATAAACTTGATTTCACCAATCACAGAAAGGGTTGCATCCGCGTCAAAACAATGCCAAAAAAAACCCGTCAAACGGGTTCTTATTGTCGTAATACAAACCTCCAGCCCATCCTCCAGTGCCTCCCACAATGAGAACATACATGCGACAACGACACGTAACATACTTTCCCTTAGCCATTTGAGCTTGGAAATAGAAGAGCGGTTCATTAACTGACCAAAAATACGTTTCTGCTTTATTCAAGGTAAGCGAAATATGTTGTTTTGGGAAATAAAACCTGATTTTCTCCTCAAGATCGCAGCAAGAGTTGGCGAAATAACAGAGAATCTTTAGGGAAACAGGAAATTTGGCTTGGAAGAAATGGTTTGTTTTAGATTGGCAATTTCTCGTTTTAGTCAAGTATTATTTGGTAGCTTGTAAGATGGCGCGCGTCTTTTAGTTTAGGACGTTTCTGCTTTGTTCAAGGTTGGCGAAATATGTTCTTTTGGGAAATAAAGCCTGATTTTTTCCTCAAGATCGCAGCTGGAGTTAGCGAGATAACAGAGAATCTTTAAGGAAACAGAAAAATTGGCTTGGAATAAGAAGGATGTTTCAGATTGGTGATTTCTCGTTTTGGCGAAGTATTGTTTGATAACTTGTGAGATAGCGCGCGTCTCCTAGTTTTCAGTTGGATAAAGAAGTTAGGATTCTTTCAGATGATTTGTGATTAAATAAATTTGGTCTGAACAATGCTGCGATCAATCAACTCTCACGTCACAGTTGTGATGGAAACTGCATTCCTTCTGAGAGACCCACGGCTTTACTCACCCCTCATGTCAGTAAACCTTATTTATATCTAATCTAGAAATCTCTGCAACAGAGACTTTTCATATTCCAAAGATTTCTCATTTGCCCGCTATGACCCTGTCTTACAATGAATCTGTTGTACTTCAAGACTCCACGGACTGAAGTCAGCCCTTCGATTAACAATGTTCTTTTTTGTCGAGTCACTTAGAACCGGAAACTAATTTTTGCAGCAAAGTGTTGCAATAGATAATTCATGTAGATTTGATTTGCCTGTCATTAAAAAAAATTAAGAATATCTCAAATTAATGATACCTTAGTAATATCTTTTATTCTCTCCTCGACATTGTTTATCATCGTATGTCTACATTCCATTGGAGTGCTGACAACTCCGACGTCCACAGAAAAGGAAACAATCTTTAAAATATCGTGAGCATAAAATATATATGATCGTTAGGTAAACAGTACTACTTTTTTGCGGTGATCAGAATCCTCTTAAAACAGTGAATACCGGAAATTAAAACGGAAAAATGATCAGAGATAAGGCTCAGCACATCAATCATGGTCTTATTAGTTGAGATTCTGTCGATGTAACAGAGGAAAAAAAACTTTCTCTTCGGAAATGTGAACA